TCACAGCCACAACATCCACCCGGCCTGATCCAGACGAGATCCAGCCTCCAGTTTGTTCTGACGCCTCTCGAACAGGAGCAGAATGAGAAAGCAGAGAATGGCTGCAGATGACCATGAGGCAGTGATTTGGTGTGTTGCTTAATTAGATGTTCCGGCGACATCTGTTTTTAAGGGGAAACTGCAACTCTGGCACATTAATTCACTTTGTAATGAATGACTGAATGTCAGCGCAGGCCGTGAAATCACCAAGAGAGAGGAGTGTGTGTGTCTGTGTGTGTGCAACACAGTGATGCTTTTCCATCTGTTTGGCAAAAACATTCCCCCTCCAACACTGGCACCGACACTGCGCAGGAGCCAGAACGAGGAGGGATTCAAGATGGCCTAATGCTGATTGGAATGCCTTTTGAATGGGAAATATGAAACAAAGATGGAGTGGACATTATGCTGCTGAATCTTAGTTAAGGACGCTTCACAAGTGTGTGACAGTGTCATTAATCTCATGAAATTACAGACAGAGAAACCAATACAACAGAATCATGGGGTGCTAACTGAAAATGTGGGCAGAAAGACAGCTTTTTTTTTATTGCTGCAGTGAATTCCTGTAAATGCATGCAGAAGTGCACACATGCATGCGCCATATGCATGGAGGAATATGTTCACACGACAACATTCTGACTATGAAAGCAGAAAGGTGGTAAAAATCTGAAATAATTCATCCTTTTTTGTGCTCTAGATGGACTAAAGTGAACAAACCATGCTCTCCTCTCCAGCAGGATATAAACAGGGCTGCAGCTTCCTCCCTGTGAGTGACTGACTGCAGTCCACAGAGACCACTTGGCACCTGGAGTGACAGACTGCCATCAGCGTGCAAAGATGCTAATATGAATTCTGATCACTCACACTTATAGGCAGGGGAATTACTGCCCGTCACCAGCGTCTAGTGATTCTCCACACATGGCACAGTCAGAGGGCACGCAGTAAAATCCAGGTAAATGGAGCTGGCACGACACTCACAGCCAGACTCTGCCGACACCTCCGTCCTAGGTGATCGTGCTACAAGATGTGCTCTATAATGTCATAAATTGGGAGCTCTGCCCTCAAGATTTCAGACTGATGAGAAATTTCGACGACAAATCTGTTGCTTTAACTGTCTCTGTCCTTCAATCTCTCCTCGGCTGCATGAGTGGCGGAGTCAAAGGTTAATTACCAAACAGGATAAGAGGAAGAGGGAGAGACAGACAGAGCGTTCACATTTCTAAAAGGTGTAAATTTATGCAGATTATTTTTATGACTGGAAGGACTGACGAGAGAAAAAAAACACTAAGTACGTCTATAGATCTGATACATAGAGTGAAAGAGTAGGTTTGTTTGAGATTCTTACTTTGGGTTTAGAAATGTATGGGACACAACCAAATTTATCAAAAATATCCCTGGAAACCATCTCATCTGTTGATATGATGTTTTTTTTTTAGAAAATTGGTTTTATTACTTCATTTCATCTGGGAAGAGTTACAGAGAGCAGTACCGACAGATCATTTGCTGTCATTTTTGTATCATTGAACACAAATTGTACCTTTATCTGTTTTCTCTGTGTTGGATTTCCATCCCCTCGAGAAATTTGGAAAACATTGAGGAACAAAACATAGAGCTTTTCAGAGTAAAGTCTTCAATCTAATGAGAATAATTTCATATGTTTTAAGAAAAAAAGTCAATTTTTTACAGGAATAATGTTATTCCCAAAGTAATGTTGCTGTGTTATGTCACAAAAATGAAGTCTTTCAGTATTATCAGTATATAGTCATTATCCCACAAAATAAAGCTGTTTTTAACAAGAAACAAGTTGTTGAATATGGGAATAAAGTCAGTATGTTGTGAGGATAATATTATTCTTTTAATTAGCTTATAGTTGGCGATGGCCTGCTAAAAAAGAAAATACATCCAAAGTAATTTTTTTTAATCAACAAGGTCAGTCATTAACCAAAACTCGGATTTTTCAGTGACTTTTTGTTACTAAATGGTCTTTTTCTTGCCCCTAGTCAATACTGTTTGCTCTTCTATGGAAAGTTTCTGTGTTGACGTTGACAGTGCTTTTAATTTGAAAGGCAGATCTCTTAAGTTGTTTGGTCTGGCTTCCTAAAAATAAGGCCGACAGCTGAAGTAAAGACGATCTCCCTCCCTCTGCTGCTCTCTTTCCACTGGCTTATCAATCACATGACTGATTGTCAAATTTTGTCGTTCAAAATTTAAGACCCTGAATAGATTGGAGCTGTTTTCTTCAGTGGCACTTCTTCATAGTCAGGGGTCAATAAATCTCAGCCTTTTAATTAAAACATAATTAATCAAAGGATCATGAACACGGACTAAAAAAGGCGAGAAGTGTTTAATTTATTTGTGAATGATTGGCATTAGTCTGAATGATTTTATCAAGTAAAAACATGCTTTTAATTTGAAATGAAATACATGCCATTCTCAGTCGATTGTAAGGGAATGTCAATGAAAACACAGTCTCAAGAACAGTTAGGAAGTATAAATGTTGACTATATAATTGCCTTGAAGAAGTATATGTTGTTTTTGGATTTATAGTGAATGTCTGGACACCAGCTTTAAAGCATCTGACCATTTTTGGGAGTGCTAATACGAGCTAGCTAACTGCTGTATCTTCTTTTATTTATTTTATGACGGGTGGCAACAGACATATCAGACCCCTCACCACAGCAACTTATGAACCAACGTCTTGTATGATTTTAGATTATGCTCATAGTTGACACAACACTAATACTATGTTTACAACTAACATAGTTTTGCAAAATTCTCATGGGATCAGACTTTGTGTGCAGGTTTAGCTCAGGAGTGAGAGTCTAGGCCCCAAATACAAGGGCCGAGCCCTCAACACACATTAAGACCCTTATCCTGTTGGTGCACGTCTTCCCCACTCTTTCATCCTCATCTCTGTCCTCTTAAACTAAAAGGCAAAGAGACAATCTAGATATAAGTTGAAGCTCTTCAAACACACCAATCAGCTCCTTTCTCCATCAAAAACGGTCAAGAACGATTAAACTGTTGTGCAGAGATGCTAAGATTACACACAGGAGGATTGTCATTACAGTTTCAAACTGATGTTTTTATTGCAGAACTCTGGATGCAAAAGTGCAGGATGACAAAGAGAAAAGCCAAACCTGACAGCAAAGTCAGGCCAGCCGAGCAGAGCCGCCGCCCGCTCTGCAGCTCTGTCCCTCCATCCTCTCCTCCCCTGTGAATTCTCGCTTCACTCTGGAGAGTGATGATACTGTCTGCTCGGCTAAGACTCCCTCTGCTTGACATCTCGACACGGGGAGAAGGATGTTCCTGTCTGTCTCGTCACATCACAGCCGTCCTGATTCGGATCCCTCCCATCCGACACCCTGTGATGCTTCTCTTTAAAAAGCTGCCCGTCCATCATAAGCATCCTCCCTTTTATGTTCCCCGCCTGAGAGGGAAGGAGAAAGAGAGGAATCAGCCCTCTCTCAAACACGAGCTGACAGCACTAAGCAGACTGACGTGACATCAGAGGAGCGATGTGCCAGACGCAGCTTTGAATTTCCATAACAAGGTAACGCCACAATTATTAGTCACTCAGTACGGCCGTGTAGCTCAGGAAACTTATGGAAAAATTCTGCGTTTATCCAGAAAGCGCAGATCCATTATGGAGTAACAACTGATCCTGAGCGAACTTCTTCCTCAGAAAAGTGTTCATCATATAAATCATCGCTCCTTCATCAGTCTTTTGCTAAATATTCTGCAAGAGTCTTAAATTAAATCCCTCACCTTGACTCCATATAAATGTAATACTGTCAATAAAGGAGATATAAATAGATCGGGGTGTAACCATTCATAATCTACCTGAATATTTTAAAAGGGTCTTTTGGGCAATGAGGCAGAGAGAAGAGAGAGAGAGGCTTGATCAATCGTCCGAGTTCTGCCTCTACAATCAGAAGTGTGCTAATTGAAACGGTGTGGAGTCGTCGAGCAGCCCTGAACGATGAGCCTTTTTACATTCGTCACGATAATTCACCATCTGAAATCCATGAGGACGCTGTGATCTTATGGCTCACAACTCATTTAAAGCCTGAAGCGTTTATCTGAAAGCAGAACAAAGACAACATGTCAGATGCTGAAACTGGAAAAGGTGATTGTTTTATTGAAATTATTAGCTCATTTTAAATTTGATACAGCAACATGTTTGAAAAAAAGTTGGTGTAAGAACAAAAAACATTTAAAAAGATGAAAAAAAGAAGAACATCTCTAGTCTGTGACAAGACAATTACATAACCACTCTGTGAGAGACTGCGTGAGCAACAGTTTCAGAATAATGTCCCTGAGTGTCAAATGTAAAAGAATGAGTGGATTTCATCATTTACAGAATATAATATTATTCAAAGATTCAGATAATCTGGAGAAATCTCTGGACTAAAGGGACAAGGACCAAAACCAAGACTGGGTGGTCCTGATCTTCAGGCCCTCAGGCAGCTCAGCATTAAGAACAGACGGGACTCTGGAGTGGAAATCCCTGCATGGGCTCAAAATGACTTCACAAACCAACACAGTTCATCACTGCATCCACAAATGAGGTTCAAACTGGACCACGAAAAGACGAAACCAGATAGAAACAGGATCCAAATCAAAAATCTGACACTCTGTTTGGAAATCATGGACCCTTCATTCTCTCTAAAGAGTAGAGGGTCCACTCAGCTTGTTCTCTGCTTCCAGTACAAATCCAGCATCCCTGATGGTACGGGGATCATCAGAGTCCATGTCATGGGTATCTTCCACATCTATGAAGGCTCCTATAATGCTGAACAATATCTACAGGTTTAGGAGCAACATCTGCTGACATCCAGACAAAGACTTTTTTCAGGGAAGACCTTCATATTTCAGCAAGATGATGACAAACCACATTCTGACAGCAGGGATTACGACAGCATGGCTCTGGAGTAGAAGAGTCCTACTGAGAAACTGGTCTGCCTGCAATCCTGACTTGTCCCCCGTTGAAAACATTTAGAGCATCATGACACCAAAAAACAGGACTGAGGAGACCCTGAACTCTTGAGCAGCTAAAACAATTGACTTTCAGACTCCAGAACTTGGTCTGCTGGGTTCACTGATGTTTACAGAGAGTTGAGGATGCAGGATGAGAAAGAAGATCCTGGAACTACTTTTCAGAAATGTGTAACTGAAGTCAAAATCACAATGAGAAGACATATTTTTATGAAAGATTTATATTTTTCAGATTTAACATTTGATATGTCATCTTTGCTTTGTCCTCAAACTATTTGGAAATGATCAAGATTGTTTTTTATTTACATTTTACAGTCTTCAAACTTTTTTGTTGAATTGAGCCTGTTGAAATATGAGCGGGGAAATAATTCAAAAGGAGACGGATGCATGATATCAACTCCCATATTTCAGGAGTCTGATTAATTTTGAAAAGCACCTGCACGCCAGCCGCTGAAGTCAAACAGGTTTTATAAAGGATGCATAATTAAAGCTACCTTTACTCATTGTGTTTAATATATGCATCTCTGCCTATTAATAACTGGGGTCATTAATTTGTATAAATCTGTTATGTACGACACCAAGTAATTTCCACTCCTGTAAAGAGAATTGGTGAGATGAAGCTCTTGCCTTTGGCCTTGGGTTGCACATTACACTCATCTTACATTAGTGTTCATGCTCCTCCTCCTCCTCCTCATCCTCCTCCTCACACCGTTTGGACTTTGCCATTGATCTTCATTCTAAAATAATCTCTTATCATTCCTCAGTGTAAGCCTGCAGAAAAACCTTTTCCAGATCCTAATTCATTAACTTCACACTGAAAATAGAAAAGCTCATGAAAGGTGGACATGTGATGAAAGCTCACCTTTAAAAAACTTCCACCAATCCACCTTAAACACTCCGGATCTTTCTCTAAGCCTCTGACATGTTGGTTATTGCTCTTTGGGGCAGTTTGTGCCCTTGAGCAAAAATCGCTTGCTCCAAAAAAAATCTCTTTTCAGTCACATCTCTCTCAGTTTTCAAGCTGCGCACATCCTATCAAGCTGTTCCGTTGAGTTTTCAGTGCATGTCTCCATTAAAAAACATTAACATTCACAAACTGAGCGGCTCAGCCGTGAAAAGGTCTCCTTAACATTTCCCTCTGCTTCTCTGCAGACAGCCAACAAGCAGCTCTTTCTCAATCACTGTCCAGACTGGAGAGGCGAAGGACATGTTCGAGCAACAAGAGTTTGATCATTCTGCTGTAAAAACCTGTTTTTGCAAGTGCTGGGTCACTGTGTGACGTGATTACATAAAACGGCATTTGATGACCACAGGCAAAAAGATTTAAAAAATCAGCTCATTTGATTAAAAGTAGTTTAGGGTCTCCTTTGTCCTGTTTTTTGGTGTCATGATGATCCAAATGTTTTCAATGAGGGACAAGTCAGGACTACAGGCGGACCAGTTCATCAGCAGGACTCTTCTACTACAGAGCCATGCTGTTGTAATCCCTGTTGTCAGAATGTGGTTTGTCATTGTCTTGCTGGAATACCATCAGGGAGGCTTGACTTGGACTTGGACTGGGAGCTGAGAACAAGCCTGAAGAACCCTCTACTCTTCGAGAGGAGGATGAAGGGTCTACTTTTCCCAAAATGAATGACAATGTTTGTTTCTAGATCCTGTTTCTGTTTGGTTTCCTCTTTACATGGTTCAGTTTGAACCTCATTTGTGGATACTGAGATGAATTGTGTTGTTTTTTGGAGGTGATTTTGGGTCCTTGCAGTGATTTCCACTCCAGAGTCCCGTCTGTCTTTAATGCAGTGCTGCCTGAGGGCCTAAAGATCAGGACCATCAAGTCTTGGTTTTGGTTCTTGTCCCCTTAGTCCAGAGATTTCTTCAGATTCTCTGGATCTTTTAATGATAATATGTACTTCAGGTGATGAAGTCCACTCACTCTTTCACATTTGACTCTCAGGAACATTTTTCTGAAACTATTGAACTATTAGCTCACACAGTCTCTCACAGAGTGGTGAACCTCTTCCCATCCTACCCTCTAAGAGACTCAGACTCTCTGAATGTCATTTTTATACCCAGTCATGTTACTAACCTGTTGGTGGAAATTCACCTCAGGTGTTGGAGAAATTCCTCCAGCTGTTTTTATTTTTTAAGTATTACACAACTTTTTACCTGTTTGGTTGTTCCTGTATAGCTAATTTTTTGAAACATATTGCCAACAACAAATTTTAGATGAGTAAATTAAAAAAAAAAAAAAAAAGAAAAAACAATAACATTTTTAGTTTAAACATTTATATGTTGTATGTGTGCTTATTTAAATTAAATATTTTGCTGCAGACTTTAATAAAGAGGTCGAAAAATGTGCATTTAAATAGATAATCGTTTAAGTGTCACATAGTCATTGGTGCTTATGGCTTGATTTGGCGCTATTGTTCAACAGACTCCAGGTATTTACCTTTTTAGAGTTAAGAATTCGGAGCAGATCACTGTCCCTATCATTGCTGCAGGTTTTCCTTAGAGCCTTTATCACTCTACTGACACTGTGCAGCCCCCCTTTAGAGCAAGGGTCTGTACCCTGCCCCTTCTGTTGTCCGAGGGGACTGCCACACTGACAATGGTGTCACCTCTCCCCCGGGGGGGACACCTCCGAGTGATTTGTGGTGGTGGAAGACTGATGAACTGCTATTGCCACCCTGTTTCTTTGCAAGATCAATTCTACATGTAGGAGTGCGCTTTATGAATGATGGAGACCTCCTCAAGCCATCCATACAGCTGCCCAAAGACACGGCCCGGCCCCCACAGCACCTACAAGGCAGGAATAAAGCAATCACTCTTCTCAACAGGGCCATGCATTACACACCCACTCCCACACATGAACATACCCACATGAATACACAGATAGAGCAACAAAGCCACACGCACAAACACTTATCTGTTTGCAGGAGATGCATGCATCCTCCAGTATGTGCTTTTTTTCTGCAGAAACTTGGCCAAATTCTGCAGATTGCTCCTCCGTTTGGACAAAGTGAATCTGAATGGGTCTCCTTGTGAGAAGTGTCATAGGCCCATAACTGGGAGCACGCCAATAAGACTGATCTGATGGGTTTGAGGGATCGCTTGCAGCTCACATCTGAAGGCTGAATAGCATTGTGAAAGAAAGCAGCATACATAGATGTCATGAGTCCTGCCTCCCGCAGAGAGGTTGAAAGCGAAAAATAGAGCGCAATGAATACTTGAGTGTTCTGGAGGCTATGAAATTGAAAGACCTCTCTCTCTCTTTTTTTTGCCAAAAGATTTCAATAGAAAAATAGAAGCAGCTCCAGCTTTTTAATCACAACTTTGAGATTGATCGGGCGAACTTGTGCGCAAATCAATGCAGGCTCGACAGACGTTCCTCTTTTATGTTAATCCCGATGTCAAGACCGAGAGGAGGGGGATAATGCAGCAGGTTACCTGACAGAGAAGAGAGTCACACTGGATTTTCTTAATATTTCTTAAAAATATGCAACCTTCCAGTATGGAACACCTACACTTTTTTACTCCACTTACTCAAGTCACACTGTTATGGGAGCAAAGTGTTAAGCATCCTAGAAACAGCATGCGTTTCACTAATTATGAGTGTGATGTCTTCTTTTTCTTCATGCAATAAAAGGAGAGCAGGCTGCAGTCTGCAGACATCAGGGTTTAAGGCAGAGCAGAGCAAGACAGCTGAGATAACTTCCATTTACAGTGTGAGCCCCAGTGTGGAGGCCATATACTATTTATGGGTTAATCGATACAGTAGCTGGATGACACCATGTCCCCACTACTTTCTGTCATGATGATGGCTCACTAATTTTGGAACGGCTGCTTTCTCCTCCTGCCTTCAGCAGCCTGCAGGACGGTTTAATTTGGCCGTAAAACCGCCAATCACACGGTTACTTCTTGTTCCTGGGGGAGGTCATGATGGGGGCAAGTCCATAGGAGGAAATATATTCACATAGTTCTCTCGGAGACACCGCTAACCCCTGACATCCCGTTTGGGTTGTAATTTCACGTAGTTAAACTGACAGGGACCCTGGCTCTGTGCTCTTAGAGACGGGGAGGCAGCACTGATCAGGGAGGCCTTTAATTCATCCTCTCTGAGTGTGTGTGTGTGTGTGTGTGTGTGTGTGTGTGTGCATGAGAGAAAGACAGGAAGAGACAGAGGATGTGTGTGTGCTGCCACTTATATGAACATGTTTGAGATTTGTATCTAAGAGAGAAAGAGAGCAGATCCTCCGCTCTGAGCGCTCCATGTTTTTTGAGTGTGCAGCGTTGAGCATTCATGTTTCTGTGATTGTTTGCATCGTCTTGCATGCAGGGGTCAACCCACATCTGGGTAACAACATGGGGGGAGGGGGGTGGGGGGGCGGAGAGAAGAGCGGTAAAGAAGACATCATTACCTTGGCTTTGAGACTTAACCCTGCCTCCTTGAAGCAGGTTTGATTTGGAAACATGGAGCAGGGGTGCTCCAATTATCATTCAGGTAACATTTAACTGCCCGCTCTACGTCGGCAAAGAAATAGTTTCAAACAAGTTTGTTTTTTAATGTAGTGGAAAGGCGGTAAATCAATACATTTTGCACCATAGTTTTAAAATATAAACTCCAAGTTTCCCCTTTTTTCCCCCAAACACTCAAACAAAAACCCTGGACGATGTAGGCTACATAATCTATGTTTCAGCATTTCTCCACTCTGTCAGTAATGTTCATGATGTTCAGACTTTCACTGATTTTAAGTGTTTTCTATCCACACATGTGAGTATCAGGGCCACATTACGGATGAAAAAAAGGTGTAAAGAGCATGGTTGTAAATTATTATGAGAACTAGATCTTGAGAAAATGAGACCTCGGGATTAAGAAACCAAAGCTGTATAATTACAAGAATAATGTGTCTAGTATTATAAAGAAAAAGTTGTGACAAAGTCCTGCATATTACAAGAGTAAAGCGTTCATAAGGAGGACAAAGTCATGATGAAATAAAGTTTGGTAAGTTGAGAATGAAGTTGTTAAAGAATGTGGAAAATCAGAGCTGATACAGAAACTGCAGTTTTAAATATCAAATGAACTGATGCTTTTTAAACAATCATGATTGAGATCGGGCAATACCAAACTTTCTAGGTCAAAGTAAATACAAATACAGGCTTTGTCGGTGTCATCAGTACTTCACAGATAGATTAGGGACCAGCAGGAAAAAATAAGGTCCGATATTTTTATTGACTTTTTTGTCAGATAGAAGAAAGAATTCTGAGTTTATTCACGAAGCGATCCAACTTTTTTCTAATCTCAAAATTCAGATTTCAACTCCAAAATCCTGATATTAAAGTCAAAATTCTTGAGTTAAAGTGAAGATTCTAAAATTTAATAGACAATTCTGAGATTAAACACAGAATTTTTAAATTAAAATCAAAATGCTCAGAATAGAGTCCAAATTGTGAGTTTAGAGTGCTGACTACAACATCAGAATTCTTGGATATAAAGTCAGAATTTAACAATAATTACCTTAGATTACTTTTTTTTAATGTTATTTTTTGTGGCCTTATCATGGATACATATACTTTCTGAAAAATATTTTAAATATTACTTAGATATAAAAACAAACTCTTGACATCACTTTTAATGAAACAAATAGGGTATTGTGATTACAGATTTTAGCATTTTTAATTTGCCAAGTTCATCCAATTCTCATTTAAAAGACAAAGTAACTGTGGCCTTTTAGTTAGTACACTAGAGTTAAGTCTTCTGAAATATAATACGCTCAGGTGTAGGAAAAGGTGTAATAAGAAAAGACTGAAGCGAGTTAAACACATCTGATAGAATTCAGGGTCCACATCACAGGTAATAACAGTGATACCTGGACTTCACTGCCTCCTTAAAAACTCTCCTGCAGTTTAAATTACAATGTCTGGTGCTGCAGGTAACTGAAGCAGCTGATTCTCTCTTTCTTCAGTCTTTATTTGACCCTGGAGTTCTTTGAGTGTGTGTGTGTAAATGAGGAGGCGTGAGCAACTATATTGTCCCAAATTATGCATTTAACATTATTTTTCCATACTTGACAGAGACATCACACTGTGCGTTCACTCTCAAACATTGAATTCGAATTTGACGAGGACTGAAGAGTCAAAGCTGTGTGGGTGTGCACAACAAGCATTTCTACTGTCTGATTGGTCTCCACAGTCACGTGATACAGTTGAAGAAAGCGGAGTGAAGGACAAAAATTCCTGTGAAAATGTTTTAAAGTCCTGTGAGAAGTTTAAGTTTGTTAAAAAAAACAGACTGAAATTGACACTGATGACCTGCAAAGGCAAAAAAGATCCTCAGGAACAGGAATGATCATTTCTGCGCTGAAGTTTCTGATAAACACTGCAGAGGGTCAAAACAGTCCTTTTTTTATGGTGAATACGGTACATTTAATCTTTCAAGAAATCAAGACGACAGTAACTGAAAACACTACCTTCAATACACATGTAGGGGATACTGGGGGAAGTTTTAACGCATGTAGTTCTGACGCTGACTCTGCGCACGCTCAGTTCTCCGCCTGATTCAAAAGAGTGTGGTCACTTCAACATAGTTACACAAAACAAATGGTTTGAGTTGTAAAAGTATTTTTGGGTGGCTGTGCTGTGTTTTTGTCTGAAGTTTTATCTGGTCTTATTTGATCATTTGATTCATTTCAATCTCTTACCCCTGACCACTGATGTCACTTTATATGTATATACTGTGCTGTTTGTTCATCTACTGTCATACATGTGATTCACTGCAAACAAAATTTACCTGAGGGTACAAATAAAGTAACCTTTGACCCTTTGACCTTTGTCTTGATTATAGTTGATAGTGAAACTAAATCCATAAATCTAAAAACTTAATAAATAAAACCCAATGAAATCAGGCTTATCAAAACATTTTAACATGTGTATCTTTTATCTCTCTTTGAGGGGATATGTTAATATAGTCTACCAATGTGTCGGTTTTCCATTGTGAGAAACTTGTTTTTATTTCTCTCAGCAGAGTGATGCAGCCTGCAGCAGGTCAGAGCTTTCCATTGTTGCTCACACTCTGAAGTTTTTAATACAATTAAAATAAATCGAATATGTCCCATCATCCTGTCAGACAGACATACGAGATCTTTTGAGAGTTTACAAGAGAGACTTTATTGATCTTCTTTGCACCCAGTGTCTCACTTTGTGACCAAATGTAATATTTGAGATGAGCAACAAAACGACAGCATCCACAACTTTGACTGGCTTCCCTGCTGTGTCGTGTCTTTCATTATAGATATACTGAAAATTACCTTCATGTGATCTTATTGTGTTACTCTGTCAGTGTGTCTATCCTGCACTGTTCTGTATTTGGTTAGAAACTGCTCTGAAATTACTGTCTGATCAATTTGTTCAATTAAAATACAACTCCAAGTGAATGCAGTTCATTAAAGTAGGGGAGACCGGGGCTTGTTGTAACACTTTTTACACTCCTATATATTTTTCGAATCAATACATCATAAAGTTAATTTTCTTTTAGTTTGGTTAATGGTTAATTGGCACTCATCTCAGCTCACAATGTGCTCTTCTCTTCTCAGACAGGACATGACCCCTGACCATGTATAGGAATAAAACTGGTATTCCACTTTTTAGTTGCGCCCTCTGGTAACAAAAATAATTGCAATGTGACAACTAACCCATGTGACAACAAGCCCCGGTCTCCCCTATGGTTATCACCAGTGTGTTTTTCCAGTTTCATACAAAACTTAGCCATGCCTTTGTACTTTGTATATTGAAGAATTTTAACCATATATTTTTTTAAAAGAGTAACATTATTACATACCTGATATTGAATGTACTTGTTTTTTTTGTGATACGATGGGTTGTTATGATATATTTCTTTCTTCAGTAAAGTGAACAATACAGTTTTACCTTTATTACCTGTAATGCAGTGATCACTTTGTTAATTAGGACACATGTAGGGTTTCACTTTGTCCACAGGGGGCACTAAAATTCAAACAAAGAGAAAGTTGTACAGGAGCTTTAATTACAATAAAAGTCCTTTAAAAAATAAAAACAAAAAGACTTTGAAAACCATTTAAAGAGAAGCTTGTAAACGTTAGCAGTTAATTTCTGCCGCCATTTTGTTTATGTTTAACAGACTGTGATAAATGCAGTTATGAAAAGCCTGTTTGTTGCTCTGTTGTTCATTTTTGAGCCAAAATGAGTAAATCATGAGAGTAAAAATGAGATAAAATAAGATTAATGTTCATTTTCTTTTTAACTATCAGAGTGATACATCCAAACTGAGGCGTAATAAGGGTTCAGATCACTAATGAGTCCATCTGAGACACACATCTGGTGACATTATGGGGATATTATTCAGATGTGGGTGTGTGTTAGTGTGTGTGAGTGAGTCTGTGTGTGTGTGTGTGTGTGTGTGTGTTTGTGCTAATTATCCGCCCACCCTGTGTAATAATCAACTAATCGCTAGTGAGCTGTGCTTCACGTGCACGGCGGAGGCAGGAGGACGGTGTGTGTGTGTGTGTGTGTGTGTGTGTGTGTGTGTGTGTGTGTGTGTGTGTGTGTGTGTGTGAGAGAGAGAGAGAGTGTGTGTGATTGTGTGTGTGTGCGCGCGTCGGTGTCCGCCCCTCTGCTCTCTGAGAGGTAAAGAGTTAACGGAGGGAGCGGTGGGTTTGCCCATTCTCCTGCTGTGAGTGACGCGATCATCTCTCTTATCCTCAACTTTGCCTGTTACCAGAGCAGAGCCGAGCCGGACGCTGCTGACACTCTGAAGGCGATCTCACCAAAACAAGCCCTCAGCTCCCTCACATTTCAGCCTTCACCCACACTCCGGTGACTTTTCCACGGGCTGTGAACCCGGCAGCATGATTTTTACTCCTTCTTCCCACCGGACTCCCCGATGTTGTGCCGTTTACTCCACGAAGGCGTGAATCTTTCTGAGGAGAGGTGGATCTTCCCGGATACGGCGCGGGGGGATATCAAATAAAAAAAGAAGACTTTCGCGGAAATCCCCACGAATAAAAATGCCGAGGAGGAAACAAGAAGCGCCGAAGCGCGCAGCAGGTACGTGTATCCAACGCTACTGTGCGTAAAAATCTCATTTAGTGTCCTCAAACTGCGGATGTTACCTTTGCTTTGTAAAGCTCACTTTACAGTCACCGCATTTCCGTTTCCACTCCGTGTTGTCTGCTCTGTAACGATGCGCTTTGTCACCCACTGCCACTCTAAGAGAGCTCATGGAAAAGTGTTGTCTTTGTCAGACACATGTAGCGTACAGTTCGGGTCCAACACTGTCAGGATCTGCGGTTTCGCTTTCCACGCTGTGCGGCTCCTCCGGTCCCATCGTATGAGTTCACAGCTCCAAACTTTTGCTTCCATATCCTCTGAGGTTCGATTCCCGGACACTTTCCCCAAACCTGACCGTAAATCTGTGAGAGTAAATAAGCTGTGCTGTGATGGTGCTGAGTGCCTGAGGCGTGCCAAAAGGGGGGATACAAGGGGTTTGTGCGCATTTGAACCGAGCGCATAACTTCTTTGCACATGTTTGGGGGGAAAAAGCCCCTACGTCCGAGCTTTTCTCCTTTTTCTTGGGATAAGATAAACAATTTGAGTGCAGACAATAGGGTTTCGTGGGCTGGAAGGAGCCATAATCGACAGTTGCCATGTCTGATTTGACGGTTGATTGATTGGCTGTCATGCGGCTTTGATCTGATCCTTCCCGATTTGCATCAGAAAATCACTTCCCACCATGTGCTGCAGGCCCCTGACGTCACGTTTAAACCACTTTGAAAGGCCCTGTGTACTTTTTACCTCTCTTTCCCTCTCTCTCTCTCTCTCTCTCTCTGTGTGATGGTCAACTGACTCACTAAAAAGTAAAGGAAGGGGGGACAAAGTGGTCTCAACATGCGCACACACACTTTCAGCAGAGCACATCACACACTCTCTCATGTGCACATGCTCACTTTGAATACACACACACACACACATACACAGTGAGAGTGGGCAGAGGAGGCGGGAGGAGTGGGTTAGAGGTTGTAAAAGGAGCCGTGTGCTATGTAATGGAGGGGAGGAATGGGTTTGCTCTGTCAGACCGGGCCGTCACAACGGCTTTGTTTCATGTTTGATTTAATTGTCTCTCCCCTGACAGGCCCATTCATCAATGGCTTTAATGGTCAATCAGAGACAGGCTGAGTGAGTGCTCCCATTCTGTTTAGCCATAAGCTGGCCTGGGCTTTTATTTCATCAAAATGCCCCAGCCTAATGTACATGCTCACTGGCTCAGAGTGGCCGCGGGGAGCACATAAAGAATGACTGAAAGCTTTCTGATTTCAGATCAGTGAGAAGGATGTTTTTTTCCTCTCCTCCTCCCTCCTCTCTCCTCCTCTCTCCTCCTCTCCCCTCTGTCATTGCTGTTTCTCTGTTGACGAAAGCGAATAAAGGCTGTAATGTGGATCGTTTAGTGTTTTTAGAAAACAACTTTTTCTCCCTGAAACCACGCTCCTTTGTTCATTCATTCATCTCTTCATTTCTTCGTTTTTTCATGCTCCCCTTCCACCCCTGTCAGTCAGCCCGTGCAGCTGCAAGTTATAAAGTTGTCAACTGTTCAGTGGCACACAAAGGGTGATGATGAATTGATTGCAGCACAGAGCATGGTGATAGAGAGAGCAAAGAAAAGGATGACAGATGATGGGCCTTGATTAGGGACTTAGGGGGAGAGTCAGCCCACTGCAACCTTGAGACTTGCATGAAAAATCCCCCTCCTGCCCCCTCCACGTTCACACACACACGCACACCCCTCTCTGCTCTCTCATTGTCTCTCCACCCCTCTCTCTCTCTCTTTCTCTCTTTCTCTCTCTCCTTCCTTCCTCTGTCTGAGAGGGTTTCTCTCTCCACAGTAGAAAACTTGTTTTGCCTGCTTCATTAGCGTTGCTCCAATTAGCCGTGAGGCTGATGGAGTCCTGACAGGCCCTGTGATTGGAGATGACAAGCTCGGGGTGCCCAGCCCAATGAGGTTTGCCACCACTTTGATGTAATCAACTTGATATTACACAGAGCCGCTCGCCTTTGGTTGTGCTGTAACTCAATTTTCCGCTGCAGGTGACAAATGGGCCTGCCTACCTGGGTCAGGTCTGAGTGCTCTTAACAACTGAGGGCAGCTGGCCACGTAAACAGCCGGCAAACACCAGAAAGAGACTCTCCCAGCTGTGGTAATACAGACCCGCTTCCTCTGTGGTCGCTGGCTACCCCAGCCACAAACCAGAAGCTTGAAGCTGCCGAGATGGCCGCATTAAGACGAAATACTCCAAACAGGGAGTCGACGGTTTGACATCCAATGCTTCAACAACCCTATAAGAGACAGGATGCATGATAGAAAATGTTGATAGTGTTTATGTTCAATTGGAAATCGTGCAAAACCAGATGTTCAAACTGAAATAGTTTATAGTTTTATATATATAAAAAAATCTGTGCTCATTTTAACTTTGAGGTCAGCAACAATTTTCAAAAAAGGTGTTAGGGCTGGAGGGTTAGGGGTTTCCAGCTGATGAGGTTGATTTACAACAATTGAGTAATAAGACTGAGTGTAAAAAGGACATTCAGAGAGCCTGGATGGTCCTGATCTTCAGACCCTGAAGCAGCTCTGCATTAAAAACAGACAGGGCTCTGGAGTGGAAATCACTCCATGGGCTCAAAATCACTTCAAAAAACAAAAAAGTTCATCACTGCAAATGAGGTTCAAACTGAACCATGAAAAGAGGAAACCAGACTTTTATAGTCTTTTTGGAAATCATGACAGTATGGGGATCATCAGAGTCCATGTCATGGGTATCTTCCACATCTGTGAAGGCTTCATTAATGCTGAACAATATCTACAGGTTTAGGAGCCACATCTGCTGACATCCAGACAAAGACGTTTTCAGGGAAGACCTTCATATTTCAGCAAGACAATGACAAACCACATTCTGACAACATAACAACAGCATGGCTCTGTAGTAGAAGAGTCCTGCTGAGAAACTGGTCTGCCTGCAGTCCTGACTTGTCCCCCATTGAAAACATTTGGAGCATCATGACACCAAAAAATAGGACAAAGGAGACTCTGAACTGTTGAGCATCTTTTTCACAAAAGCGTCAGGGTTCATCAAAATTTCACAAGTTTGCTTTGAACTTTTTTAAATTAAAACAAGGCTCTAAACCATCAAATCTGTCTTAATCACATTTTAAGAATCCTCCCAGACATTTTTCTTAAGGATTGTAGGTTTTTAAGAATCTCTTATATGCCCCCGTCTGCAGAAATTTGTTGTCATGTTTGTGTTGTTCAGGGTGTTGTATATGTAAGCTCACTTCCAGGCCTCCCTGTTTCCTGTCGTAACCTTGTGAGTGTGTTGTGACTGTGACTGTGTGTGTGTGTGTGTGTGTGTGTGTGTGTGTGTGTGTGTGTGTGTGTGTGTGTGTGTGTGTGTGTGTGTGTGTGTGTGTGTGTTGTAAAAGAGAGGAGCTGGACGCAGGAGCAGAGCGGTTAAAGGAGTCTGATTTGGACTGGACTCCACAGCAACAGTCTCCTCTTTCTGCAGGCTCAGGATTGAAGCTGCCAGACTGGCAGCCATCACTCACGTCTATCACTAAGAGTGTGTGTCTGTGTGTGTTTGTGTGCTTAATTCAGTGGGTATGCACTTTCTGATTTGCACAGATAGTGTGTGTGTGTGTATGTGTGTATGTGCACTTTGGCTTAAGATAGTGATGACAAGATCTGTAACCGTAGACCACCTGCACGGGGTCAGGTCGTAATTCTCTGAACTCTTTTGGCCTTCTTCGTTACTCTGCGTCGTCTTTTCCCTCCACTCAGAGTCTACAGGTCATCCTCACCACGTAATCAAACTTAGAAACACTTCATCACAGTATATAAATGTGCTGTGATGACTTCAGGTCTGAGCATTTACAGCACACGTTGCAGATACATGTACACACATTAGGGGTGGGCAGAGTACTGGACAGTTGTAGCACAGAGCTTTAACCCAGAAATGATGTATTTCTTTAGTGCTACATATTCTAGCAGGATCTGGTTAGATTTGTAATGAATAAATCTTAAAGCTACTGTTTACAACCATTATTTAATCATTTACATGTTACCCTTTTCACTGGTGCACCGGTATAATCAGATCTGTAGTTTCCCTTATTTTGTAGGTTAAGGCTCCTGTAAGGAACTTTTATTTAGTGCCGTACCAAGCATGTGTTTTCAGCTTTGTTTACCAATAAATGAATCTATTATTCTTTGTTTATGAAAAGGAGACTACACGTAAATCCACATTCAACAAATGCCACATTATAACGCAGATGTAAATGCACCCAAGTTAACAAAAAGGCTGCATTTTTAATCGTGTGTACTTGAAGTAAAACAACAGCAATAAATGTACCATAAACGTTGCATGGCGAGCACTCCTTTCTTTGGCCTGATCGTGCTTGTTGTATTAATCTGCAGGACTCTGCTGCTGTTTGCACCGATAGAACACACATGGAGGCTGCTCGCAGATAAACATTAGCATCGTCGTTTTTAAAGCTACAGTGAGGAACTTTTAGTTGAGTTGTTTTTGGTGACCCCAGTGGGTGAGTTAATGGTTTAAAAATGATATTTAAAAGTTGTGTTTTAACTAAAAAGCTCATCCTGCTCTCGTCTATAAGTTCTTACCAATTTTGTCTTAAAAATCAGAAAGCTTCCCTTTGTCCCTGCACACATCACCTATACCCCCCAACAGCAGATGTAGGTACAAAACAATAATTGTGTCGTCATTGTCCATCGTTTTGTAGAAAGCGATGCCTCTGCATTAATTTCAACCAGTTTAGTAGCCAGCTAAAAATTCCTCACAAGGGCTTAAAGTAAAATGATGCAAACTAAAAAAAATCCCCTCATATATGTTTATATTTATCCCTTTTTCCAGGTTGTTTGGAAGTATTCAAAAGTTTTTAAATCCAATGAATACTTGTGATGCAGATGTTGTCAAATAATGAATTAAAATAACCATGCAGCTTTACCATGATGTGAATTTTGGGTCATATCTCCCACCCCTGGTTCACACATATTGTTGTAAAGGCAGCGAGTAGAGGCTGTTTTTATGTCTGTCTGCTTCCTGTTGTTTATGTGAGAAAAGCTTGTCCTCATGAAAGCAACAGGGAGCGATTTGGGACTTAATTGTTGAACCGACAGACAGACTGACAGCATTAGCGAGCTTTAACAATAATACGCCTCTGCCCGCGTTGTTTGCAGGTGTGAGCGGCAAATGTTTTGGCCTTGCAGCTCGGTTGCTAATGAAAGTCCTGTTGCTGGATTCCGGTGAGGTTGAGTCACGTCTGTGATCTATGTGTCTGATAAGTGCATACCTAATGAGGCTGTGAGGAGGAGGGAGAGAAGGGGGGTTGGGGGGGCTGACGGAGTGTTTCCCACAGGTATTGACAGATGCCTTTTTGTTTTTGCCATAGGCCCTGACTCCATAAATCCTGCCTGTGCAATGATAACAGTGCCACCCTGCCAGGGAGAGAGTGAAAGAGAGAGGAAAAGAAAGAAGGCAGGGGGGGGAGGTGATGGAGGGAGTAAGAGAGGGGGTGAGGAAATGGGCCTTCTCCTCTTTTTAACACACACACTTGGCAGATGTCAGGCGGTGGGGCTGGGTTGTGCTGTGGGAGAAAAAGAGGACTGTAAGTGCTGGAGTTGTGTCACAAATAGGAAACTGTTTCCCTTTCAGCTCTTTCAGCTCTCAGGTTTTCAGCCGGGACCGCTGTCTGAGTCGCAGGCTTTGTAAAAATAGTCCCACCGCTGTTGTGATAGATGCAGCTGCACTGTGGCGACAATTGGGACAGGCTGGATCCCTCCAGCCCCACCTCTCTCTCCCCCCTGTCTCCCACCCTTTCCCTCTCTCTCTCTGAGGTAGTGACTCCGAGGCGAGCGTCACAGCCCGCTTGGATGTGCTCTCTTTTCGGGGAAACTGAGCCGCTCCGGTCTTCAGGGGTCCTGAAACCCAATCCAGGAGGAGAATAGCCTGGCCATGCCAGAGAGCCGATTTCCTTTTCAACAGAGTCATTTATCACTGACCCACCCTTCGCTTCTGACACGGTGACGTGTGTCATTTATCAAACAGGCTTTAGCAGACACACAGAGAGGGGAGGAGGGGGGAGGAAGAGAAAGAGAGAGTGAAAGAGGGGAAACAAGACAGAGAGAAAACAAAGAGAAAGAGAGGAATGAGGTGGATAGAGGGACGAGGTTTTTCCAGGGGAGACAGAGTTTTCCTGAGAGCGTCTGGGAGGAGATTTTTTGGAGATGACAGTGAGGATTGAGTTACAGTGAGCTGTTTCTGATGAGTGACAGAATGTTCTTCCATGACATGTTTTCAGACGTCTGAATGAAGAGAGAAATACACGCTGTGTGAGAGTACGACTCTAACGTACCGCAGAGAGTATCAGGGCAGAGAGAGAGAGAGACAGAGAGCAAGAGGAAAATTTACTTTTCATCGTCCACTTCGAGGGAGAGAGCTGAAAATTTAAGATTGAAGTCGAAAAAAAATCACAATGCGCTGAATAAAGTAAAAAAAAAGCAGTTTTAGGCACAGGCCCTTTGTATTGAGTTTGTGGCTAAAACTGCCGAAACTGAAATCTGAGAGTTTTTGTCTCATTTCTGATAAAAAAAAAACATCTCATTCGGTGAATTTGAACCACATTCATTGGACAAGTCCTGAAAGATGTCATGATGTTACAGGCCTAAAACAAGAACCAGGATTACGAGAAAAGTTTGTAATAGGAAAATAAAGTCTGCCAATCGACTAAAAGCCTGTTTACTAATCAAGTTCTTTCTGTAAGACATTTTCCACAGCAGAGTGTCAGGGCCACCACAAAGAAATGCCTTTTCTTTCTCAAGAAAATAAAGTTGTTTTGTTGCAGGAATGAGGCTATCATCTAATGAGACTACAGTGGTTGTAAAATGATAATATTATGAGATTCAAGTCCCTCTGTCACAGGAATGTAGTCCTAATCTAACAATAACTAATAATAACTAGAGCTGTACAATTTTACAAGAAAAGAGTCGTAGCCGAGTCAGTATATCACAAGAATGAAGTTTTTCTGTTACTAATAAAGCCGTAAGAAAATAAACTTCTAATGTCATGAGAATAAAGTCATTGTGAAGTTGTAATGATATTTGAATAAAGCTTTTTAGATAATGAAGTCATTTTTGTCACAAAAATAAAGAGGATAAGATGGTAAGAGAATAAAGTCATAACCTGTCTAGGATAAAGTTGGGCTAAGGTCATAATGTTGGAGAGTCAGGTCCTGATGTTACTTGAAAAAAGTCATGAAAAAGAAGTTAATGGTTGACTAGATCACCAACTTAATTCTCATTACATTTGGATTTTTCTCTTGAAATCTTATTTCCTTTTCTCAATGTGTCTCTAAACTCTCATAATTTTCACATTCAAAAAAACGTGTAATTTTTGTCTCAGCAGATTTATTTTTTTTATTAGTAAATTAGATTCAGTTCTTATTTTCTGCGGTAATATCTTGAAAGAAGACATATTTCTGCACTCGTTGGGTCAGTGTGTCTGAAATTAACTCTGATGAGACATTTTGAAAAGAAATAAGGCAAAAACACTTACTCAGATTTTATTTCTTTACAGTGTTTTCACAGCGGTTGCGGGTTTGACTCCCGATCACGAAGATTAGCTGCATGTCATTGTTCTCTCTTTGCTCCTTATGTTTCCTGCTATTTTCTGCATTATCAAACTCAGGGTTCCTACGCAGTTGGAATTTCCATACTTTTCCATTCCCTAATTATTTTTGGAAATACCTACTTTTCTGTTTTAGGACACAGTATTCTAGAACTGTGGTAATAGTCTGGAATCATAAATATTTTCCCATACTTTATTTTTCATTTCCCATACTTTTTAAGACCTGGAAATTGATCAAATTTATTTCTGTACTTTTCCATATTTGCGTAGGAACCCTGAACTATGCTTTTATTTTGAAGTTTACGCTACTTCCAGAAGATTATAAGTTACTGAGCTGAATGGAAACACTTACGTTTGAAAGAATAAATGTTTAATTGATCGGTAACTTCAAGTGACACAAGCTCTAACGTTGTTTTCGATTCATAATAAATCAGAAGTTCAAAGAGTCTCTCAGAGTGGTGCTACAGCTAGCTCGCTCTCAAGCAGCTGCTGCTTCTTTATCTGTGTTTTATGACCTGTGTTTTCAGTACAGGTGTATTGCAGCAGCCCTAAATCTGTTATTGACCGTCACATGGGAGCACAAAAGCTCGGATCGTTACACTGTTGACGACATAAAGATATAATTTTATTCATTAGAGAAAGCATGACCGCAAAAAAGAAGCCCTACATCATGATAAAATAGAAATCTAGTTTTATGCATCAGTGTGACGTCTGCTCTTTGCAGCTGTAGGCTTTTTTCTCCAAATTGACCTCTTATTTTTTTTTTATTTTGCAAAATAAGATATAAAGATCTTCATCCTGCTTTATTTCTCATCTCTGAACCTCTGCAGACATGTTTGCTTGTGTTATGCTCATGTTATATAAATGCACCACAAACACACTGAAGCTCCAAAGACTCTGTGTCTGTGTGTGTGCATGTGTGGCCATATGGCGTCAATGTTTAATGGCGTTGGAGTGTGTGTGTGTGTGTGTGTGTGTGTGTGTGTGTGTGTGTGTGTGTGTGTGTGTGTGTGTGTGTGTGTGTGTGTGTGTGTGTGCCGCTCCCTGATGAGCAGGGCTGACAGGTATCACTCATGCTGCAGCCTGGCCTTTAAATGAACCCGAGCTGCTCTGCTCTCCCGTGGCCCTAACAGGCTCTCTCCAAGATGGATGCTTCTTTAAAAATCAGATTAATGATGGATACCGGGCTTATGGTCCCATTTATCACGAAGAATATTATTTAGGCCGGCCGTGTATGGCTGTAACTGGAGAGCCAGGACGAGGAGAAGCAGGGTGGAAAGCCTGAGACAGACACTCACTGTGTGATGGATGGCTGAGCGCTCTACGAGTGTTACTAGACACCAGCGCCGCAGCAGTAGGCCATAATCAGATAGCCCAGGGATGTTTATCCCGCAACTACACTACCCAGATTGCCTTGCCTGGAGGGTTGCTTTATGAAAGGTACAGTCTGTCATTATTATCTTTAAAAAGTTAGCGCACAAACTCAGCACACTGAAGGCCGTGCAATTATCGTCTATGAAATGATCTATTGGATTCAATCTAACTGACGGTAATGATTACCTACAAGTTTCCATTTCCCAGTTTTTCCAGAAGATTCCTCAGGAGGAGTGAGAGCGTACAGTGAGAGGTCGAGGCGAGGCCGGCAAAGCTGCTGCTGCAGCAGAGAGAGGAGTGAAGGAAAACAGTTGTTTTGTTTCGGTTTTTGTCCTCTCCTTGCTCCCTCTCTCCTCCTCCTCCTCCTCCTCCTCCTCCTCCTACACTCTGTGATTTATGGAGGCCATCCATCTTCAGGCGGCGTCCATCACCTCCTCGTTGCTAGGCGATCATGGCAGCAGCTGTGAGCTGTGAGCGTCCCAAGACCTGATTTTAGGCCCTCAACCCCCAAAACCACCCCAGAAAACTGCAGCAAAAGCTAAGATCAGGGTCAGAGTACCGAGTGGAGGATTTGTGTTCTGACTCACTGATCGTCATTTTGGTGCCCTTATTGTACCGTCATTACCTGCAGGTGCATCCAGCCTGGAGAAGTTTGATATTTTATGAGTGTTCGTTATGGGTGGGGCAAATTTGCTCTCCAGTGCCCCCTAGTGAGCTCCAACGGTCCAGGCCCTCGCTACAGTTGCACCCAGTGATAAATTTGTTGTACATATCTGGCCTCCTGAGAGAGCTGTTAAATGTCTTAATGGTTTAATCTAATCCACTTTCATCCTATACGTTCAGAAAAATGTCTGAGAAAAATAATCTGTTGATAAAAGAAGTAAAACCTAATTGTTATGTCCTTGATATCAAGTTTTTGTATTTCAAAGAACTTGAAAACTAAATTTTGAAGTAACTCAGGTCTGATTTCAGACTTACAGTGTTTTAAAATGAAATGTTTTTACAGACCTGTTGGGTAAATTTGGCATAAATTCAATCAATACAAAAATATTTCTTAACAGCCAAGTCTTTAGGGCACCGAATTAGGAGTAAAAAGATGTGAATGATTTGAATGATCCCCTTATTTTTAAAATGTATCTTATGTCAAATAACTAAAAGTTTATGTAATTTGAAATTACTGCATCATACTAATCTCAAAAACAGACGTCTACAGCTTGATAGTGCATGGAAGCATTTAGGTTTCTACAGGCATTATTACAAGAAACAGCAAAAATTATTGTGTTTTTTGACCACTTACCACTTATCATGAATGTTTAAGTAGAAAATGCAAAAACAGAGCTTCTTCATGACCTGCTTGGCTGACACCTACCGTCTCGTGTTTGTTTCAGGCCTTAAGTTACAACTTCAAAACACTGTGGTCTTGTCTCCTCTGGTAGATCATAAACGTAAATATCATTACAAATTTCAGTGTAAAAAAATATCAGAAAACTCCTCACAAAAAAAATTGTGGATTGGCATGATTGCAGTTCAGCTTTTATTTTGAAAAGTCAAAACTCGGAGGGCGTGGCTTAAAGACAGACAGACTTAAGACAGTCTTAAAAAACAGAGTGAAACAGGCTGATTTAAAGAGATTTAGTCTAATCCAGGTTAAGCAAACACTCAGCGGGAGGTGAGAGCAACATAAACCTGTAATTAAACTGATGATTGTGAACTATTGTGTGACTCTGACCCTCTATAATTAGCAGAGTTTGAGCTCAGGACGTTTACAGGGCAGCTGACAGCCATTACACTCACTCTGACTGAGTGTTCAAGTGCTCCGCTTTAAAATACCTCAATGCAGACTGTGCATCTGATCCATGGAGAAAAGTCAGGATTTTCATGTTTTGTCACCAAAATAAAAGTTTCTAAGCAGAGGTCCAAAAATGTAAAACAGCTGGAAAAAAAATCACGTTAAGAGTTTTTTTTAGGATAAAAATAATAACTTAAAAAAATCTGCGACTTGTGGTTAAGTGATTGACAGATATCAGTGTTTTGACAGTTTGGTAGCTGATAAAATTAGCTTAAAAGCCGATTTATAACGTCGATATCAAGTCAATGTTTTTTATTTTTTATTTTTTTTCACATTTGATAAAATACAATAATCGAGAAATACTGTTGAATGAGGAAAAAGAGCTGCTGGTCTTGAATCAACATTTAAAATAAATAGTTGAAAATTTTAATAAATAGATAAAATAAAGGACATAAAGGGGGGGGGGGGGGGTTATCCTTGGGGAGGTTGTTCCTGAGGGTCGAGGCTTTGACAGGAAAGGTCTGCTCACCTTTAGCCTCTAAATTTTAAAGTTTTTTAATCTTATACTTTTTATGGAGTGAAGTCTGAGTATGTAGGGGAGTGGTCGATCAATTACAGTTCATATGTGAGAGGATTGACCAATAACAGATGAATCTATAACATTGATGTGTCACTGTGATTTCTTTTCTTTTCAGCAAAACTCAATAGTTTGATGGAATAATCAGTAAAAATGTAATCACAGAGGCTTTTGGATTTCTGTGCAGCTATCACAAAGGATTAATATATATATATATATTAACAGGTAAATATTGAGGTTTTAAATATTGAAGTACATTCAAATCTGTCAGTGGAGAGGGGAAGATTTTGGGTCCATACTAAAACATACTAAACAGCGTTTTTATATGAACCATCACAGAATTTAAATAAAAACACCAGCTGATGACTGTTTTAGATTTCATATGCAGGGTGATGAGAAAAATGCTTTTTGATTAGAAAAGGTAACAATGATATCAGGCTGCTGAGAGTCGATGCAGATTATGTTAAAATGTCGTTAATTAGATTAAAAAGCAGATTAATTGATCTACCTCTTCTGTGGAGTAGAAATCAGAGTGTAAAACAAAGAGAAGCCTGGACTAAATAATATAAAATGCTTATTTATAATAAAGACCCATAAAAAAAGCAGACAGTATGAAATAACAAAAAATCAAACTCAAAGAAGATACCAAAATATGAGACGAGGATTAAAAACTCTGTATTTCCCGTCGTGTTAATTACATTGAATTTTCTACGTTGGTGGTAATTGTGTGTCTGTGTGGGTGGAAATGGAGAGTGAGGATAGATTGGTAAATCACAAAAGAGACAAACACACATTAGATTACGTAACAGATGTAAAAAAATGACAGAAGCAACATAATCTGCATTATTCTGTATGTTTATTTTAACAGGAGCTGTTTTAGATTCGATTTGCTGTCAGAGAAAGATGTTAGTTTATAAAGAAGATGGTGACATTATGTTTTGAAATGCCAATAATCAACTGACCATCTACAATTGTCAAATATTGAGATCAAGTAAACAGACAGTATCACAGAGCGTGTATTAGCCACCGCTGAGTAAACAGGTGTAACAGTGTGAGAATATTTGTGATCCTGTTTCAGGTTCAGTCTGCACACTGTGATCCTGATGAAGTTATAGTTTATAGTGCAGTCTCATTTTAGAGATTCCTCACAGATCGAGCAAAAGTTTTCAGGTCAGCCCCGACTCTTTATCCTCATTCACAACACCAGGCGACCTTTTAACAGCATTTTTGTGTGATACCTAAACAGTGGAAGGAACAAGGAAATAAACAGTGTGGAGCTTTGTTAGGGGTCTGCCTGAGTGCAGCTGAGAGGAACAGGGATGAAAAGATAGAGGAAGAGATGTGTAAGGATCTTAAATGATACAAAAGAGCCATAGTAAGAGAGTAAATCTTATTATGCATGTTCTTAAAAGGCTTAAGTCACTTTGCATGGACAGAACAGACATGAAATAAAAACAAAAGGGTAGAAAATTATAAAACATTTCTCCAGGTAAGAGTCAAGAATATAAGTTACATGAAAAACACGCACTAAATTCCTCCTGATTTTTTAAAAACCTTCACAACTCCTGCGGAGAAAATACAATTGGTTGCATTGTACATCCTGCAGAGTTTGTACTCCTGCCCTTGGTTCTGCACCTGTGGACGCTGTTTGTGTCGTCTCATTGTTTGTTTCCAGTTTGATTATCGCTTATTGTGGCTGTGTGAGGTTACAGAGTTTGGTCACATTGTTCTCTCCTCACTTGGAGTAGTAGCAGGAGCTTCAGGTGCTTGTTGCTCGTCTCATGTGGGAGAAACTTTAAAGGTCTGTATGTGCAGTAATGATCCGAAGGTTGACTCTTTTCTGTGTTTGTCCCTTTCTCTTTTTTCCTCGCTCTTTGTTTCCCTCCTCTTCCTCTGTGCATTGACAAGGTTCAGCCCTGAGCTTTGCCTGGGGCCAGAATGATCTCTCTGTTTTTCCCATCTCCCCTATCACACATCCTGCACTACAATCGGCGGACACAATGTATTCACGAACCCATCAGGGGGTAGAGAACATGCACACAAATAAAAACTGACAAAGACATCCACGATGGCTGCAAACACGAGCACACGCACGAGCGCAAACCTGAAAAAGAGAAACCACCTCCTCTGCCGGGGCGTGATGCCAGGATTTATTCCTGTTTCAGATGACCACAGATCACCTGTTGGATATTTTCTCGTGGGACTCTGAGCCGGCCTGTAAGGATCAAAGGCAGAGTTAAGTTTGATTGAGTGTGCTGCTTTGACAAATGTGTACAACAGAAAGGCATTTTAGGTATGTTAGTGATCTGCTGCTGTTTTGACAGAATGAGGCTGTTTTGGGCTGAATTATTCTAATCTATTTAAAGAGTTCGGGGCTGCTGGGAAACTTGAGAGGGAGTGGAAGTCAGCGGTTTGATTGAGACCGAGGTGGCTTCCCGTCCTGTAGTGTTTGGAGGCTGTTTCCTGTCAGTAAGAGCCCCCTGCTGAGGGGCTGTGTTGGTTTAAGGGCGTCAAGGTCCAGTTCAAATACTGTACACATGTCAAGGAGGGCCCGTCATGCAGAGACTCACTTTAACTCTCTCCTCTCTCAGCGATCTCCAGCTGACTTTGAATTTTGTCTGGTGACTTCTGATCAAAGGTCTTCACTGCTCTGTCAAAGCTTTTTTCCTCTGCTCTTTAAACAGACAGTAAAAATAATACACTTTATTTATGCCTCTGTGGTTGTTCTCTGTACTCAGACTGTACGCTCTGTGCTGTCTTTTCCTGTGGCTTGATTTTTGTTGTCTTTAAAAAGTCATTAAAACGCTTTCATAATCTTTACAGTGAGCCGTAAGGACCCACCCATGCAGACCGTTTCCTGGTTTAAAGAGTGTCTTTGTGCACGGATAAACCTCTTTATAATTCAGGAGCAAAGTTAATAATGTAAAGATCATACAGCAAAACCTCTGACCAAAAAGCATTAACTGTGACATGTTATCTTGGACACTAGAAAAATGGTTTGCAGAGCTATTTTTTAAGCTTAGTGATAATAATAAGTGATAATAATGTACCGGTTGTTGCCAACCCACTGAGCATTTTTTGGTCTAAAAGAGGTCTAATAGATGTCTGAATATGTAGCCTAGATGACTGGTCTAAGATCTGACTACCACAGGTCTAAAAAATGAAAGTTTTTTAGACCAAGTTTAGACCAAGTCTAAATCTGTGCTATATCTTTACTACACTGTATTTTGCTCAACAGCTATAATAATTATTTTTGGTTAAGTACTTAGAAATCAGTTATGCAAATCACAGTTTCTTTTTGAAATATTGAGTTATCAAATAATGGGTTAAAGTGCAACGTCTAAATTCTGTCTAAAAATATACAGAATCTAGACGATTGAAATTAGGTCTAAAACAAAAAAACTAGACCTGTAATAGCTGTTTATTGCTCAGTGGGAAAGGTGACTAGATTTTTACATTCTCTTAAGACTTAAGGATTTGAGCTCTTTTACGGCTTTTATTTTATCACAGCTTCCTGCGCTTCTCCCTGCTCTCCTCTCTCCACCTATCTTGTGAGGGCTGATGCTGATATGATTGTCCTGAAGAGCTGACTGATGTACCTTTATTCTCCTAGCCTCTCTTCAAACCATTTTAAATCAGTGGTCGAGTAGAAACCATGCTGCAATTCCTAAATGGACAGTGGTGGGCTGTGATAGCTGGTAGTGTCTGTATGTTTTTAACTTAATTTAATAATCAGGATGCTAGTTATCTCTTTATATGATTGTGTGTTTTGTAACAAAGTGATCAGAAGCACCTTAGTGACGTCATTGTCTCTCTCTCTCTCTCTCTCTCTCTCTCGTGTGTGTGTGTGTGTGTGTGTGTGTGTGTGTGTGTGTGTGTGTGTGTGTGTGTGTGTGTGTGTGTGTGTGTGTGTGTGTGTGTGTGTGAGAGAGAGTTAGCTCTGACTCTTCAACTTTCCTGCAACATCATGGAGACTCTGTGAAAATAAAAGTAGATCCTCCCTTTTTATCACAGGGCCTGTGCTGCCTGATGTTTTGTGTCAGAGGAATTAACCTCAGTCTGAATTATGATCAAGTTTATGTTTATTTCTTCCTTGAAATTGCATACAGTAAATTAATGCCACTCTTTGTTACTGGACCATTTGTAGACTGTATGCAGCCTTCAGCTATAGAAACTCTGCAAATGTTGCATAAACAGAGTTTTGTCGCTTTATTAAAGTGGTGTAAACAGGAGCTGTGAGCGATTTTAAAGTAGTTAAAGGAGGAGATAATCATTTTGAATTACCTTTCACTGTATATACTGAATGTCACTGAATATATCATTGTGTGTGTGTAACTCTGCAGTATGTGTGAATTTCTCCTTTGCAGCTCTCTGAAGGAATAGCTGTTAGAAGGATTTTGTCTTTTGTGTTTTGACTCTACAGAATAAACACTTTTATTTGACATACTCTACATCTGATTATGAAGGGGGTGACTCTCTACGGATCATTTTATGTGGTACACTCTTCGCTGAACAAAGACATGACTGCACAGTTTGCTTCTTTTTCCTTTTCCTTGTTTCTTTGTGCAGGAAGTTTTTGGATCGCACGATCACTGACTAAAGGTGTTTGTGATCTTTTTCCTTTAAAGCCGAGACGGTGGACACGGTGGAGTGTGATTTGGTGTAAAGTATCAGATGGGGAGTTGAGCTGTGGGTATTTTTTCAAAGAGGTTAACAGAAAGCAGAAAAAGAGTAAACATAAAAAAATGAAATGACCCGTATTTATCAGTCATGAAACTTTAAATGAAATCTTCTTCAACCAAATAACTTCTCTGAGTTAGGGGGAATTGTCCAGTCTTATTGCTCATGATCCTTTCAATTCTCCTCCTGCAAATATCAATTTTGGAAGAGTGATAGTTTTCTTTTCTGAATGTTGAGCACTTGCACTTCTTGATATTGTTGCACTCCTTTACGGTGAGCATAAAGGCATAAAAAATATTTATTTAAATTACTCATCATTATTATTTGAAGGATCAAATGATTTTTGAGGACTGCAGATTTCTTTAAAAGTGCACCACAGGGTTTTAAGGAAAATAAATTGCAGGGGAAAATAAATCTACTTGGGAATTTTATTTGCAGAGAGTAGAGAGCTCCATTGTTCAGTCTTTGTGCAGCAACTGTCTCACAACAATGTTTTACAAATGAGTCTGTTGTTTCCTTTTTATTACTGAAGACATTTCTGGTTTTTACGCAGCAATTGTTTTTGTGTAAAAACAGGATTTACCTGCCAGTCCAACCACATTATTCAAAATGATTTTTCATTTTCAATACTATTAATAAGTGCAATGTTTGCAAAAAGTTTTAAAGATGTCCATCTCAAAAAATAAAAAAAATAGAGTTACCCTGATGAAGTTTGGTACAGTAGATTTGACCTTTATAAAGTAGTAAACAGAAGCACTTGTTCACCTCAGTATTGAAGCACAGGCTGTGGTCTTTGTTGCACCAGTTAAATCCCAATCCTCACAGTACATGATGAAACGTCTCTGACCACTTTCTTCTTACATTTACCGACTGTTCCTCAAGCTGCCCTTTCGTATATAGGCCAAAAGAGGCACAAAAATAATGATTAATGAAAAAATAAAGACAAAAGTGAAGATAGATCAAATATGTTGAAGCTTCAAATTCAAACCTAACCTTATTTCACAAAATAACAGAGTTTTATATTTCTTCCAGCAGAAAACACAGTCCTTTCATCTTCCTGGTACAGCGGGTTATCTCTAAATCAAAGAGGTTGGCGGTAAAGTCCTGCAGTTACACGCCAACATGTAACTGGGCAAGATACTGGACTTGCTTGAAGCTGCTTCTGGTTTCATGGTCAGCTTAATGTTTTAACAGGATCAGTTTAAACATGTGGTCTCTTACTAAAGCAGCCTCAGCCATCGGTGTATGAACGTAGTGTAAATGGGTGTAAAAGCTTTAAAAGCACTTTGGGTGGTTGGTAAAGGCTATTAAAGTCCTGTAAAGGGATCAGTAGGGTTGGGTACCGAACTGGTTGCTACTTGGAACCAATTCTGGAATCATTTAGCAAATTTTTGAATTTCGATTCTTTCTTTTGGTTCCGATTGCCTGCACTAGTTTGTTTTCGGGGCGTGTATTACTCTGCTCAGCGTTCTCAGTGCATTGCATTCATAAACAACATCTTCATTTATCTTAAGCATTTCTCCTCAACAAAATTATCAGTCGCATACAAATATTTCCCCCTTTTCTTTTGCTAACTGGCAGACAATGCTTGTATTCGTTGTGTTAGTGGCTTTGCTTCGAACTGAGCAAAGAGAGAGCACTGATGTTTTATAATGAATGAATACACGTTCTGGGGTTTGGTGTGGAACGCTGCCTCTCAGGGTGTGTTTCCAAATGAACCACTGAACATGTATAGAAGACACAATGGTCTGTGACGTGGAGATAAAGTACACGCTACACAAACTCAAAACCATGGACGCCCGTTTCAACTAGTGAAAAAAATTTGAAGGATTTTATAAACTTCCCCCTGACAGGCCAGACAAGCCCCCCGAAATAGGACATGTCCAGGTAAAAGAGGACGTATGGTCACCCTGTTAAACACCTTCAGATTCATGGAGTAGAAATAACTGAGTGCCACATCTTTGACGAGCTGCGCCGGTCTTCCTGCGGTCAGAATCAGAGAAGTAAAACAATAAATTACATCTGTCTTCTGCTAACATTGAAGCATTTAACAAATTGTACTGTATACACCTTTTTTAGTGTAAAAAAACACACAGATGAATATTGTTCTGAGTGTGACTGCACGGAGAATTCACCCATTTTATATCACTACGCCTTTGGCAAGGTTGTCTTTTTTTCAGAGGCTGAGCTGTCTTTTGAGAACGAGGGTCAGACACAGGTAGAATTTTTTAATGACACATCCTGTTTACTGGCTACTGTGGGTGTGAGCCGCAGCGCAGACTGTTTTCCCAGCTGTGGAGACTGATTAATTCTCTGTGGTCATCAGGGGAACTGGACTTTAACTTCAGGATCTAGAAAAATATGATAACTTTGCAGAAAAAGGAGCACAAAGGGAAACAACCTGATGACGTTTCAAGTCTTCCTGCAAATTTTTTAATGCAGCATTAAGCTTTGTGAAGCACTTGAGGAAGAATAACCCCAGGAGACGCAGAGAGAAAGGCACTAAGAGACAGCCACAGCACCTTCCTGCTTAATCACCCCCCGTCCGTCCCCCCGTCCTCCCCCCTGTCCCTGCCCTGTCTGTTGTTCCTGATCGTCAGAGCAGCACTGCAGTATTTCTATCAGATGATCTCTCCCTCCTCGTCTGCAGCCCTTATGTTTATGAAAATGACACTCCACAGGAATGCCTCCTGCATGCCAAGATGTCACTGTCTTTCCTCATCGCTTACATCTGCATGTGTGTACGAGCATGTTTGAATGTGTGTGAGTGTGTGTGTTTACAGGGGGTTGAACTGGTGTCACAACTGACTGACTAGCTTTATTTGTAATTGGAGGTAAGGCTGGCAGGATAAGGGGAGTGTGTTATTGACAAAAATCATCTCAATGCTTCGGGGGATTTTGCAGATAATGATAAAAGGAAAAAAAAGATGCAAAAAAGCAACAAGGTGATTGCAAAAGTCTTGTATTGTACTATTTATTCACTTTGAACTGAGTTGCTCAGGCTGGTGGTGTTTGTTCTCTTATTTAAAAGCTCCTATGAGGACCTTTCTGTTTGTGTTGTATTTGGTGCCCCCTGTGGACAAAGTAAAACCTCTGATCTGTTCACTGATTTTGTCCTATGCATGTTAAAGTTTTGTTTTCAGACAAAAGATCTCATCCTGCCTTCTTTAAACAGTCTAATGCATCACCCACTGTGAGTATTTGCTTTTTCTGCAGTGGGCTGTCAGATATGTAGGCTCACACCTACCCCCTTGCCACAGTTTGAAGTATTTAAGATGAAATATAGAAATCATAATCCTGTTGCTGATTGTCTATTTCATAAACAGCTGAGAAATCTCTCATAGGAGCTTTAACTTCAGCCATACATGCAGCTACACCACCATAGCTTGTAACTGAGACATTATCTTAGACAATATTTATTGCACACCCCAGAATACCACATCCCACTTCTTACCACATTAAATACTCACAATAATAATATAATAACTTTTTAAATCAAAATCTTGGAAAAAAAATACAATAAGTCAGATTAAAGAAAGGCAAACTAAGGGAGGAGTAACATGCTATTTCATGACATTAGGAACACCATAGATGCCACTGCCTTACTGGCTTGTCACCATATATTTCTAATGATGTTTAAAGCTCCTGTGAGGAGTTTTTTAACCTTAAGGATAAAGACTAAAATTCACATTGATGCTATTTTACCATATACAAAAAAAGACAAACAAGGCCAGAAGTGATAAGAATGACTTTGTTTACATTGTGATTGTTAATGCCTAAAACTCGTGTGAGCATCTAAAGAAACAGCCCTGTTTTAATGATTTTCATTCTCAAGTTCAGTAATAACAATAGATGACAAGTCTGACTGTCAGAAGAAAGAGATTTTTGTCAGAGGACGCTACCCAAGCATTTAAAGGACAAGATAGACAAGTGGAGAACCTCACCTTCATCCATACATGATTTGTGCTGCAGTTAAAGTCACACACTGCTGTAAACATTAATATTGGTAAACCAAGTTTTTATAAACCACCAGAGGAGATACTGCCTCATAAAACAATTGTTTTTGGCATTTTGGCTCTTTTTATTTCAGCTTTATACTTGATTTTATCTGGATTATATTCCATAGGTTATCTTTATTTTTAAGAGTGATATCAGTTTATATATTTCATTTTGATTTTATTCCACCCATTTTAAGATGAGATAAGAAGAATTTTATTGATCCTTGAAGGGAATATCAGTTGCCTGTGGTCTTTAAGTGGTGACTTCTGGCACCTGAGTACTTTTTAATCATATTTTAGAGTGTTTCAGTAGAATTTATTGTGGTAGTTTAGTGTGGTTTTTAGTTTTTGTATTTTGTAATTAAATGTCATTGGCCAGCTCTAGCTAAGGGGAAAAAATAAAGTCACCTGAACCTGATTTTTGCCCTCTTCTGCTAAGGTTGTCTTATTTCTTCTATTGTAAAACTCTTCTTTTATTTTGAAATGACACAAACTCTCCTCGTAGATCATGAGTTAGGGAAGTAAGTAAAAACAGCCAAATGAAGGGTTAGAAAAAGTATGGATGTTCATGTGTTGGTATCATCCTTCCTCTGGTTTATGGCAGGAGGCAACTGAAGCTACTCTATTATTAATTTGGCAAACCTGTTACCTTAAAATCTTTTAAACTAATGATAAATGAAAAAAATCATCCCTCACGCAATGTGCGTGGAGAACTAAATACGTTTTTCAAATCAAATTCAATTTTTTATTTTAGATTGTGAACGATTTTTTTTTCTATTTTTTGGGGGCTCTTCAGTTGTAATCCGTGTTTAGCATGTGTTTATGTGTCGCTGTTTGTGAGTTAGCCCAAGTGAGGTGTTGATTGTGTGAAAGTTCACCTCCGAACATGCGTACCAAAACAGAGAGAAAGAATCATGAGCTAAACCTAATGATTCTTGTCGTTCCTCCACATGGCAGCGCCTCATTTTATCTCCACGAGAACACACACTTTGTCTTTTACATACACACAAAAGGAGAAGTCACACATTAGGCTGCACCATATGCTTAGATATTAGTTAAGACTGCCTGCGAGAGTCTTGTGGTATTCATAATCCTTTGCTCTTTTTTCATTCTAAGGGAGCCTCTATACTCCCATCACCTTTTATTAGCTTGATAAATCACCTCTGTTGTCAGTCAAGCCAGGGAGAATAATTGGATGTGGTTGTCGCCCAGTGTGATGGATTATCAGTCATTGGGGATTAAATTAACAGATAGTGCTCAGACATAATGGTTTTTGTTTTGCATTTTAAATTGCCTGGGAGCACGGTTAGACTGTGTAGGTTTTATAGCAGGTCTGTTTGGACTTCCCCTCTCTGAGCTTCCCAAGCTTAATGACAAATCAACAATAACCTATGGGGCCGCTGCTCTATTAGTATGAAATGTAAAACATTTACTACCGAGTCCGTGCACAGAGAGAGGCCTCAGAAGGCTCGTGAGCGTGATAACATGACATGAAATTTGATAGAGCAATAGCTTGATGAAATAGCTTGACAATGTGAAGAAATATGTGAAATATTCTCTTGATGAGGAAGACGAAGGTGACCTGACAAGTTGGTCAAGCGGTGTGCAAGACTTGCCTGATGCAAGCTGACATCTGTGACCAGCTAGAGAGGATAGAAACAAGTTAACTACCTCGCCCCGGCTGTGTTTCCCTTTTCAAATGAGAATCTGACACAGCGGAGGAGAGGAAGAGGAGGGTAAGGAAAAAAGGAAAGGAGGGAGTGTGCAGTCAGATATCTCCTTTGCGTGTCAGATGGAGCGTAAGCGATTTACCTCCTCGCCAGACCCCTCCCTCCCTCCTTCCCCTCCACGTCCACATTATCATAATTGTGTCCAGAACATGAGGGGCCGGGGAAGTGATCATGTCATTTTATTTACACCCTGCTTGGCCCTTTTTACAAACGACATGCCACTGACTGCCAAGCGGACTGGGGCCCGACGACATCTTTTGATCAGGGCTGTCGGGGCCTATCAGCGGAGAATGGCAGGTAATGGATACCCAGTGACAAACCAAATCTCCGGGAGGACGGAGAGTGGGCCGCACCTGCCAGGTCTCCATTAGGCCAGCCTCTCAGTAGGGCTGCCTGCTGACTCTGCCCCCAGGGCCCAAATCAGAGCAGCGCCAGCCGCATGGCTGCCGAGAGATTGGCTGTTAGCACTGGAAATGAGAGTTATTTCAGCTATGACATTTTTGTTTAGACTGGACGTGTGTGCGTGAGGCGAGGGGGAGATGAAGGATTTAGTCACAGTGTGCACTTGTGTGCAAGTGTGCCCAAACTGAAGCCATACTTTTGACTTTTTTTGGCGTTTGTCCCGGTTTACAGAATTGTTTATATGAACTCAGGTCTGTCTGTGGATATCCTCCTTTTAAGGAGACGTATTTTATTTTCACCTTTTAATCTGTCAGTCCAGGATGTCTACAAAGCAACTTTGCATGAGACACAGCTTACTAAACAACTAAGTAATATTATATATGTAGCCTTAGAAACCCTTATTTCAGCACTGTTTAGTTGGCTACAATCTCACTGACTGAATTTGAAACACAGCTTGCGGGTGTTACTTTTTACACAGCTATATAGTTTTAAAACAAACTTCTGCTATGTGTCAGCCGCTTCTCAGCTCCCTGTTATATTTTTGCATTAGCTGGTGGGTTTAACTACTACTTATTTCACCAAGGTACAAAGGTTTACAAAAATATCCCCTTTTTGACGACTTGTTATGTGTTAAAGACACATACAGATGGTTCAAGTGGGAAAATTGTGTTGTGTGATGCAAACAGCTCAAACACTCCACTTGGATGTGTAATAGTAAGAAAAAATATGAGTGAGGCTCTTGCTATTTAAGCTATCTCAACCACTGGGTTGCTATATTGAACACAAACAATAGCTTTGCACAGTATCGTTCATTGTTGTGTTTAGTACTATGCATAAAGCTTTACTGAACACAGTAACTTGTGTTAGATTATGTACACTTTTTAGCTTGGGAATCTGTAGATTTTTTGGTCATTTGGAGTGAAACAGCCTCTTTGACATGCAGCTCAAAGCCAGAGTTAAATAGGCTTGACGTTTATGTATAGAGCCACATCTCTTTAACTGATGCATTAAGCGTCTACTTGTAGTTGAAGTCGGTTACTTGTTGACCAGTTAAGTAGTTGGTGAACCCCCTTGTTTCTTTGAGCTTCATGAAGGTCTTTCTAGATGATCAGCTCCAGGTTTCAGTAATAGCTGAAACTCAAATCAAGCTCATACTGGCCTTTGTATCCAAAGGAGTCTTCAGGTTGTAGCTGTTGTTATCCTGAAAACACCCCAAATTCTCGCTGTTTTCTGTGAAATAAAAAAAAATGGAGGGAAGCTTGGATGTTTAAAAAGAACACTTTGAGAAACTTAAGAGAGAGACTGAACCAACACGGAGCAAATGGACTTTCCAGGTGAGTGCAAACTGAGAGAGCTTAAGGGTGGGTGTGTCCTTCGGTATTTCCCAAATATGACAGCAGAACCTGACGTCAATTTGAGGCTAAGTCTTCAAAAGTAAAACAAGCAGCTTAGAGAGAAAAACATGTCCAGAGATTAGATAAGATAATACTTTACAAAAACAATGTTCATGAATTGTGTAAATGAGAAGTGAAATGAAAGTCACTGGATAAAGTGACCTGGTGTAACATGATGCAAGGAGCTACAAAGTACAGTAATGTCGGGAACAATTGTACAGCACAATATAAAATAAAACTCTGTAATCTGCAAAATACAACATGACTGACATTATGTGTGGCGTCAGTTATGAAGAAATGTACTACAGTTGTTATACAGGGTCCTGTATGTAATATTAAGCCACCTTCCCATGTTTTGGGACTTTATGTTCTAGTACAGATGTCCAACACTGTAACGCTGTAAGTATTAAAACACAGATCAGCATAATAAGTCTCCTTTCTTTACAAGATTATTGGTTTTTCTTTGGTCGAGCAGTTTTATGAGAAAGGTGGACAGGAAATGAGGGAGGGTGACACTGCAGAAGTCGGGGGTGAGTGTTGGGTGAGTTGGCGCTCAGTATGTTGGCTCACAACCACAGGAGTGGCAGGTTTGTGTGAACTGGTGTGGGTCCGGTCATTCACAGTAGTCTCATGCACACACACACATGAATCGTGTTCATTCAGAGCCATCACTCTGACACGGCTCAGTCTTTAACCTTCTCTTCTTCTGTCTCATATTCCTCTTTTCCTGGTTTCTGTGTCTGTTTTGAGTGAAATATCTTGATTTCAGGTTTCGGCACTTTTTTGGGAGAAGAATCTAATGAACTCGCGTCAGTCGTGATGACACTGCAGTATGTCTGTCAGAATCTCTACAACAAAACTCTGATGTCCTTTTCTTTAAAATCGTCTCTCTTTGTCTGTGCTTGTGTGTGCGTGCGTGTGTGTGTGTGTGTGTGTGTGTGTGTGTGTGTGTGTGTGTGTGTGTGTGTGTGTGTGTGTGTGTGTGTGTGTAATCAGAGAAGAGGCAGATGAAGAGGCGTCAGACATATTAACTGACAGATGGAGGTTGATCCAACTCATTTATTACCCCAGAGGAGAATGCCACAGTGAGATTGGGCTTCATTAATTTCAGATTTAGTTTTCATTTCAAGCTGTTGCGCCCTGAGATAAATAAAATGGCGCATTATGTTTTTGCCAAGATATTTCTTTTTTGTTTTCCTCCAATAGAAGGAGTGAAAAGAGGGGAGGCATAAGTTCCGTGTGGCTGGGGTAGTATATAAATACAGGCTCGCCTAGAGGAAAATAACACCTCAACGGTTGATGAGGTGAAATGGGATGACTGTAATTTCTCAGCTCAGCTTTAAAGGCTCCCACACAGATGGCTCATTTATCCCTGGGAGTCCTCGGGCACACATAGCAGGGAAACTTTTTCTCCAGTTATTCTAACATAGCGTGTTCACTCCCTGCAATTTCACTCATCTCTTTCTGTCTCTCTTTGTCTCCATTCTCCTTGCAGCCTATTCTCCCGAGGACCTGACCGAGCCCACTGTGGAGGAAGAGGAGGCTGAAGCAGATGACCTGCCCTCGGCCCCACAGGACGACCTCCCCATGAAGGATGAGTGTGTGGAGCGGAGCGTGGGGCCTGCCAATGAGAAGGCATGTGACAAGGAGTCAGCCAGGGCCGCTGAGCTCTCTGGACAAGACATGGACAGTGAGTCACATGTGAGTGAGACCAGCGACCGCCTCTCAGACTTTGAGAGCCCCTCCAGGAAAGCTGAGGGCAGCTTGGTCTCAGCTCCTCTGAATGGTGGCACCAAAACACCCCCTATAGGCATGGACACTTTAGAACAAATGAAGGCTATCTACTCCAGCTTCCTGAGCAGCCCCTTGTGGTCCCCGCTGAACTTTACCTCCACACAGCCTCAGGTGCCATCGTCAGTTTCTGCAGAGAAGCCGGCTCGCAGTAACAGCACCAGTAGCAGTAGCAGCTGCAGCAGTGGTAGCTACGACTGGCACCAGTCTGCAGTTGCAAAAACGCTACAGCAGCACCCTCCCCAAAGCCGTCACCCCACTCAGTCTGAGCCCAGCCTCTTCAGTACAGTCCAGCTCCACCGGCAAAACCCAAAACTGTTCGGCTCCATCTTTACTGGGGCCAGCAAGTTCCGCTGTAAGGGCTGCAGCGCTGCTTATGACACCCTGGTGGAGCTGACAGTTCACATGAATGACACAGGCCACTACCGCGATGACAACCAGGACCGGGCGGGCGCTGGCGGAAAGCGCTGGTCCAAACCACGTAAGCGCTCCCTGTTAGAGATGGAGGGGAAGGAGGACGCACAGAAAGTTTTGAAGTGTATGTACTGTGGCCACTCCTTTGAATCCCTGCAGGACCTCAGCGTCCACATGATCAAGACCAAACACTACCAGAAAGTGCCTCTGAAGGAGCCGATGGCCCCCGTGGCAGCCAAAATCATGTCCTCGAAGAAAAAAGGGCTGATAGGGTTGGACCTTACTGCCTCGCCACGCTCTGGAGAAGGAACCCCCAAATCTAAGCATCCAACAGCTGACTCATCAGCAAGTGAACCCTCACAGAAACCTTCCTCCAGTCCTTACACCAACACCAATAACCGCTACGGACACCAGAACGGTGCCAGCTATGCCTGGCAATTTGAGTCCAACAAATTCCAGATCCTGAAGTGTATGGAGTGTGGAAGCTCCCACAACACACTGCAGGAGCTTAGGACCCACATGATGGTGACGGGGCATTTCCTGAGGGTCACCAGCTCTGTGGGGAAGAGGGTCAAAACACTTCCTGAGGCCACGTCCCCCAACCCCGGACGTGTTACCACACCTACTGAACAGAGGGTCCAATCAGTCCCGCTTGCACCCTCCACTTTTTCTCCTCCACCTCTTCAGACTACCCCGACCCCTCCTGCGGCTTCTCCTCCCCTTAAAGAGATAAAGAAGGAGGAGGTTGAGGAGGAGTGCACCACGAATGAGGTGTCAGGAAACGAGAGGCAAGCTGGGAAAGAGGAGGATGCTGAGAAGGAGGAGAAGTATGACATCTCTAAGTACAACTATCTGACTGAAGAGGACCTGAAAGAGAGTCCTAAGGGGGGCTTTGATATCCTCAAATCACTGGAAAACACTGTGACATCTGCCATCAACAAGGCACAGAGCGGGAACCCAAGCTGGGGAGGCTACCCAAGCATCCATGCAGCCTACCAGTTCCCCAGTGGTCTCAAGCTCCAACAGGGCGGCATAGACAAGAACTCACCAATGAAATTCTTGTTTAACGGGGGAGACGTAGCATTGTCCTCGCTCTCTAAGGACCAGCCTCTTATTTCCCCACCACTTAGCCAGTCCTCTCCCTTCCCAAGTAACAACTTTCAGGCGATGGAGGAATTGGTGAAAAAAGTAACAGAGAAGGTAGCAAAAGTGGAGCAAAGGGTGAAGCAGATGTCTCCAAAGATGGAGAACCACCTCTCGCCGTGTAGCAGTGAGACTGGAGAATCTCTCAAGGGAGGGGAGGCTGAGTCCCCTCGGGAATGGAGGGCTGTAACCCCAGCCAATAGTGACAAGGGAAGCCATAGCGACAGAGCATCCCCGGCAACAGAGCCCAAGAGAGAGGCAACAGTCAAGTCCCCTCTCGCCTCTTCGCTGAGATGCAGTACCGCCATTATAACTGGCCATACTCCTCCTGAGCAGCCCTTTGTCAACCCCCTAAGTGCTCTTCAGTCAGTAATGAACATTCATTTGGGGAAAGCAGCCAAGCCCTCTTTGCCAAACCAAGATCCCCTGAGTCTGCTCTCCAGACTCAGCCAGAGCATGGCAGAGAGGGCTGCTGTGGCCGCCCCTCCCTCACAGACCAAAAAGCAGGAGAGTGTGGCTGATAACAGTTTTAGTCAGCCCAGCGATGACCAGCCTATGGACCTCACAAAAGGAAAAAGCGACAGAGGAGGCTCTGTTGGCTCAGCCCCCCTAACACCGTCATCCACAGCCTCCTCCATCTCCCCCTCCTCCCTCATTACTCCTGCTAAACTAACAGTGGTCTCGCCCTACACCTCCAACAGCCCCCTGCATGAAAATGCTTTATCAGATATCTCAGACATGCTGAGGAACCTGACTCAGTCCCATCATGTCCCAAAGCCCCCCTCCAGGACCAGAGTTACAGAGAAAGTCGAGGTTGTGGGCTCAGCTCATGATGATGACGATTCATCCCTACACGGCCACAAACGCAAAGGGCGCCACTCCAACTGGAACCCGCAGCACCTCCTCCTCCTACAGGCCCAGTTCGCCTCCAGTCTGAGACAGACATCAGAGGGGAAGTACATAATTCATGACCTCAGCCCCCAGGAAAGGATGCATGTGTCCCGTTTCACAGGCCTCTCTATGACCACCATCAGCCACTGGCTGGCAAATGTCAAGTACCAGCTAAGAAGAACTGGCAGAACCAAGTTTCTCAAGAACCTGGACTCTGGTCAGCCGATCTTCTTCTGCAGTGACTGTGCCTCTCAAATCCGAACCCCAGCAGCGTATGTATGCCACCTTGAAGCCCACCTCGGCTTCAGGATCAGGGACCTGGCCAAGCTGTCCCCTAAACAGACTGTCAGGGACTCCCACACCCTCTCTGAGAAACTCGTGCCCCAGGAGTCCTTCCTTTCTGCACAATCACAAGACGACTGCAGCGGCAACGGGGCAGTGTACCGCTGCCAGCTCTGTGTCCGCAAATTTGCCACCAAGCACGCCATCAAACTTCACCTCAGCAAGAGCCATGGGAAGTCCCCGGAGGACCATCAGCTGTACGTGTGCGAACTAGAGAAACACTAAATCAGTCTCGGCAGCAGACGTACAGAAAAACACAGCAGGATGGCTGAGACCAGAGAATATCTGAAAGTGTGTTTGTGCGCAAACACACCATGAACTACTGTCAAAAAGTCAGCACAAGGTGTTCACATCTATCGGGCCTATGCGCATTTCTGATTTCTCTATTTCAAAAGACATTAATTTCACATCAGAAAATCCTGTAGGTCAAAGATGTTCAGCCCGATTTGTTGTCGGCGCTGTTGTCTTTCTCACTTTGTTAACTCGAGGTGATGCGAGGCAGCAGAGGACGGTATTATATCACGATCATGGTGACTCTCTTGATGAGACAGTCAGCTTATAACTTGAAATGTATTAACTTTATTGTATTTATTTTGTACTTCTGTGAGTCTGGTTTTGATTTGCTGGTAGACTGCATGTTTTACTGTTACATTTGTACAGTTCGGTCCTGTCCTGTCCCGAGTTTGAACGCCCTCGTCAGCTGGTCATTTCTGAACACCCTAAAACAGCCAAAAACCTGAGAGAGCTCCTTCCAGAATCTGCCACACAGTGAAGGTTCAGTGCTTGTTTTTGTAATTTTCTCTGTACAGCTGAATGATTTTCTTGCTGATTGTAAAAGCTGCCTTGTTCTTGGTCATTGAGTGAGGGGCGTTTGAATCCAGGTCTGTGTAAAAATGTACATATAGTGTATAAGCTTACGACTTTCTGTTTAAATTATGCATACTTGTTATATTTCCTAATTTAAGAGGACTATGACTATCCACTGGTGCAGAGCCTTTGAAGAAGATTAAAAGGACATTGTTTTGCACAATAGTTTTATAAATGTTATTTGATAAAAAAAAATCAATACAAATATGTTAATGCCTTGTGCTTCTATGATTAAATTGAATTAACTGCTGCAGAAAAACTTTGTTTTCTTTCACACTATAAAAATGTTATTTCCAGATGAAGGTCTTTTATAGGAGCTTCTTGTTAAAAAAAGTGCCCTCGCACCTTTTGTCATGGCACGTCACCACTGTGAGTGTGGACGAGCTGCCGATGGAAAGGCAACAGGATGGACAGGGTTTACTGCTAAGAAGGTTTGTTTTAGTGTGTTGGTGCTAAAACAACAATCACAGAATAATAATCAAACTGAAAATAAAAATATATACAAATATAGAAATAGAGATATGAGTACAAAGAAGTAGAAAGCTTTTTAGCAGCAGTACAACAACTGTGTCCGGGAACCTTTGATTTATTAAAAAAAGCATAAAACTACTGAACAAAATATGTACAAAATTGGCAATTTGTGAAGGATGTTTGGAGTGTGAGATTTGGCTTGGTGATGAAAGCATGAATTCTTTTCAGAGAGACTTTGGTTCATAAGTTTGGTTTCAACCTGCAGCCCTTTTCCCAGATTGTGGTTCCCTTCTCTCTCTCCAGTTTCCTGCTCCATACACTGTCCAATCCTAACTAAAATAAAAGCATAAAAAGGATTCAAGAAAGAGTGCAAACAGTATTAGTAAAAACAGTGCCATGTAACAATTTTGGAGTTTACTACCAAAATGCATCCAACTCATCCAGTTACCCATCTGCAGCACCAGCTGCAAAAGAGAAAGACAGTAACTTCCCCAAGTGCTGGACTGTACAAATGATGTCAGAGTTTTCTTTCAGTCCAGCAAAAGTAGTTACAGGTTCATAACGGCATAAATGCAGTTTTTCATTGGGTTATTTTTTTCTACAGTTTCATCCTGACCTCTGAATTGAACTTTTGGTAAACAGCCCATCATCAAACCTTTCCAGTAAAATGTGACACTGATTGTTTTGTTTTAATACCTTTGTGAAAGTTTAAAATTATTCTCTCTGTACACAACATGATCACTTATCATAGTTCTTCCTGACTGTTTGGAAGATAGTGTTTTGGCGTCATTTCTGCCTTCATTTTCCCTCCAGACAGTGCCGACAGTGCCTGTTTTAGAACTTTATTTCTGAGTACGTGAGAAAGTGAGTGTAATTTTAAAAATGAAAAGGCCACAAAAAAAAAAAAGCAAAGCATCAGAGTAACTCAAAAATGAGTCAAAACAAAGATAAAATGTATGAAGAATAGAGAAGCTTTTTCTAGTTTTTTATTTATTAATTTTTTTTTTTTGGATCTTTTTGCAACAACTGTAATTTTGATTCTTTTTTTTCTCCAAACTTGAACATATTTTAGAGGATTTATTAGTCAGCATGAAAAAATTGTGTCTTATATATCACTAACATGGTCAGATGAATCCCTCTGGAGGTTCAAATGTAATCCCTTAGAATTGCACAAAACGTACCAAAATCAGTCTTTCAAATCAGAATGGCGCGCTACCTGTTTGGATTTCGTTTTGAAGATTATAGATTAATTTGTAGGTCTTGGCATGATACCTACAATCACCAATGTGCATGCATGTAGGTTGAACCCATGCTGATGGCTGTATTTTGAATCTTCCCCGGAGCAATTTTGGAAAAACTTCTGCACAAGACCCTTAAAATTTTAAATTTTTGCCAGGCCTGATATAAGTGCCAAAGCTGGTGAGTTTGTGGCATTTTTATGCTGCCAAATGAGTGATTCACTTGGAATAAGAGGAAGGAGAAAGAAAGGAAAATTCCCTTGGCTCTAATAGGATCCTCACACCACAACTGGGCCCTAAGCAGAGACATCCCTTTACCTTTAGACAATGACATGAAAAGGAAAAAAAATGACTCCCTGTAGTTTTAGACAGAATTGCAATTCATAACTGTTGCTTATTTTGACCTTGTTTGTTATGCCTTGAAAAAAAAAACAGCCCTCGCAATTGTTGTTCCACATTTGAATGACTAAGATTTACAAATCAGCCGACAGATTGCTCATCTGTACAAGTAAGAAAAGCCTCCGCGTTTGCAGCCGCTCTTGTCTTCCCAGCTACAATTTGTCCTGATATTCCTGGCGATTTCTGTGTCGTCTTGTTGTTGTGGGGCGAGCTGGAGAGGTGCGAGCGGTGCCACTGCCTGCGAGGCGTCTGGCAGGTGGTGTGTGCTGCATGTAAACCACCAGATGTTTCTGAAACGAGCCACTGGAGGGGGAGGAGGAGGCAGGCGGGCTGCAACAGCAGGCAGAGTGGGCTGATTACCACGGGGGCTTGGATGCCATCAGGAGCCCTGGGCACAGACAGCAGATCTGGCACACACCTGGACTCCAAGACTGTCCCTTGGAAAAAATAAAGCAGATCCTATATACGCGCGCTGAGACGAGCTGACAGTGGTGCAGAATGCACAGACAGGTGCTATTCCCTCAAAGCAGGCTTTTGGATCTAACAATATTACTGGCAGGTGTTGATGCTATCAGAGTCGTCACAATTCCGGCACAGTGCCATGTAATGAGAAAGTTTTTTATGCTCTCTTTTTTGTGTAACAATGCCACACACATTCCCAAACATATGCACTTACATACATTCTTGTGCATTCACACCAGGACTATTACAGTATCACACTTTCACCTCATTACTATAGCAGCAAAACCAATCAGGAATCATCAGTCAAACTGTGAGCAGGCAGTAAAGGGTAGAACAACTTGTTGATTCACACTGTCAGACACAGTGAACTCGCTTTAATGCCATTCATTTCTAATGATGTTTACATTTTAACAGCCTCACAAAGAAACTACAGCAGTGACTCATGAAACAATTCTTTGTTGGTGCTTTTATTTGGGTAATTTTATTGTCCTGATTGTTTTTTTGTTTGTTTGTATTTTTCGATATACAGGTCTTTTATTTTGGGGAGAAGTGTGGCTTAACACAGCAAACATCTCTGTGGTGGCGTCTTGTGTAGCAGCCACTACTGCAGTGGTGATTCACAGACTCCTCCTGCCTGCAGACTGTGAAAGCAGAACGGATTAAAGATGTTAGAAAACTGCTGATGAAGGTGTTATCATCACAGCATTATTAATAGCTGTCATAAATGACACTGGATACAACAATAGCATGATTACATTTGAAGAAACAGAGGAAATAATTGACCACATCTGCCACATATTTGTGTAGAGGTGCTTTGCAGTGTAATATTATTTTACTGCGACAGAAACCTTTATCAACTACTAGTTCTGAAAACAATCACAGACTAGTTACATGTGAAAGTAAGTTTGTTAAGTAAAATGGAGATTTACATCAGAGTAGATAAAAATCTAATATTTAACCTGCTTTATCCAGCTTACTCCTCCTGCTTCCTCTCTGCAACCCTCCTCCACCCCAGCTCCTCTTTTTATGCTGTGTTTGATTTAACCAGTATCCTCTGTAGTCTTCCAGATGCCTGTGATGTCCTTTATCCCAGGGGTCTTACCGGCTGCTCTCCCTGCCTTGGCTTTTCAAGTACACATTCGAAAGGAGGGGAGCTGTGCTCTCCCTGCTTCAGGCTTTAGCATCCCGTCAATGTTCATGGATGGGAGAGGGTTAGCTCTACCCACAAGGTCTCTGCTGGTGCTCTCCCTGCCTTGGCTTTTCATGTACCTACGTCATACACAGGGGAGCTGCAGGCTTGGCGTTCCACAAAAGCATGTAAAAAGGTAAGCAGCTCTCAAGACAGATCCATACAGCCAAATTTGATAACTATGTGGAAGAAATGGATTCTTTTGAAAGTGGCCCCGAATAAAATGTTTATTTTTCAAAACAATGTTTAAGTTTTTTTCACAAAGTTTGATCATTGTTAGTACTGACATGTTACGACAGCTCTAATTGGCACATTTACTGCTCAGTTTTTCTCCACCTGTCCACCTGTGTCTGATTGAGGATGCCTGTGGACACCATGTCCTTTCGGTTTGATGTTCCCAGGCTCTGCTTGTCATGACTGACTGACTGAGTGACTCGGGGCTGGGGGGGGAAGTTATCTGGTTACCATGGTGACGGCCATTTGCCCAGCCTCTAACCCCACTCGCTCACTCACTCAGCAGAGGACAGCTCGAGTGCAGCACACCCATTTACTCTCTTAAATCTCATCATCTCGCTTCAGTTCCTCCCACCCGGGAACAGATTAATTAACACACACACACTGTGTCCTGACCCCGTCTTCTCACACAAACTCATTACCGCCTCAGACTCGCTCCCGGCCCTCCGACGTTTAGGATACATTGGTCTAACGTTGTGGGAGAACCCGGTGATGACTCACATCTGACAAGCAGAATAAAGCCTTTAACAAAGGATGATAATTGAAAGATGGGATTCAGACCGGTAGCCATTGATAATGCAAATGAAAAAGGCCGAGTCGCCTTATTGAATATCTGGTGAGTTTTCAGAGCTCGCAGATGTGAAATCATCTCTCGGACGTGATCTTTTCTCTCTCTCTCTTTTTGAGGACTGTAAGTGTTGATGAATGCTTTCTGCTTAGTGATGGACTCGGGGTGAGGATGGTTGGGGGCGTTAATGAGATAGTTGACACTTTGGGGGTTAATGAGGGGCTGGAGGGAGAGGGCTAAATGATTGGACTTCTGCTTGGATGAGCTTTATAGTGGCTGCTGGAGGAGAGCAATGAAGGAGCTGTGGATCTGCTGTAGCCAATTATTTAGCATGAAAGACACAAAACTCCTCTGGATGGTATTTTTCTGCGATAATAAAGGGGAGATTAGATGCTTTATCCATTGTTCTTTTGTCTCGGTTATCCTTGAGGGCTGGGTAGTTATAGACGCCGATGCGCCTCGATGCTCCTAAAACAAAGTCAGCAGCGAAGGGGGAAGAAAGGAGGCGGACAGGACAGGGATAGGAGAGGAGGAGAATGAGTCCCCCCCACTCCTCCACTCCACAGATCTCCCATCAGCTCTTGTCATCCCTCTAATGAATATCAGTTAAATTGCTCTGTGGATCTGAGGAGTTTGGATGTCAATGTGATTTGTGTGAGTGTGGCGGATGGAGGGGCCCAGACTAATGAAAGGCGAGCCCGGCCTGACAGAGTGATGAGCATCAAACCCATCAGACCAATCACACGAGAGAGGCTGACAGCACCGACAGTCAGACAGCTGAGGAGGAGAGGCTATGTATTTAGGAAACAAAATGGCTGCCAAAACAGAGGTGGATGTCTTTAGAGCTGGTTGATATAGATCCGTCCTGTCTTTGTGCGCTTGTGCAGTTGTACAGCTGAGGCACGCAACCCCGGGATGATCTGCAGATGAATAAATTTCACCAAGATTTACAGCAGACGGCTCTTGTGCGTGGTGTTAATCAGAGAGGGTCTTAAAATCAACAGGTTAAAATCGGTTTAACATAAATCTGATGTTCCTCTTCGGGCTTGACATCATCATTTGATAAACAACCGTGTCGTTAGCATCAAACGCTCTCCGTCTCCCTGAAGCCTCGCATGCCAAGGAGAGAGAGACGATGTTCATTCACACAAATTTGACGTAATATCTTCTGACATCAGCCGGGGAGTCATGGGTAGAGTTAAGTTAGCTTCACCTTTGACCTCTCACCCCTGTCGCTCATGTGTGGGAGGAGTCACACACGTCTATGAACATCAGTTTGAAGGTCGCTGGCCTGTTTCTGTCTCTGCAAAGAGGAAATACCCTTCTTAATTTCTGCAGGACTACAGCAAGACCTACTATGCTGATGAGTCTTTCCAAAACAAAGGCCAGAAAAATCCAGAACGTTTCATGAAAAATATAAAAGTCAGGTTGTTACATGATGACAAAGCTGTGCGGAAAAGAAACCTCCCGAAATGTGACTAACTTTCTACCAGTGGAAAAGCAGCCAAAATGAAGTGTTTTGATATCAGATCGTCACTTTACTATTTTCAGGGCCATAAAATATCATCATGACAATATTATTGTTGATATTTCTTAGAAATCTTGAAAGTAAAAGAACACAACCGTGCAATACTGAGGAAAGACAAAACAAGGGTGGAGCAAACCTAACACAATAAACTTACAGCCAGACCCATTTTTAATGACGTTCAGATTTATGATTTATCCACATCAGTTTCCCTGAGACTGAAACTTCTTTAGAGGAGATATTACCTCATAAAAAGAGTGATTGTCAGACTTTTATTTTGATATTTTTTCTGCCTTGCATTTTGGTTGCTTATTTCCTGCATCATTGAATTAGGCTTTTATTTTGAAGTTGATCTTATGTGACATTATTGAATGAACAGTGTCTAATCATCTTATCTCGGAGGGACGCTAATGCTAGCTTACTGACAGCTCCTACTTCTTCTTCATCTCTGCTGTTTTGTGAATTGTGTCAACCAGCACAAAGGACCAAAACAGCTCATGGTATTACCAAATGTTTATTGCAGGATATGAATATTTTATTCCTTTAAAAAGACAGTCAACATCAATACCGGTCTGTTGTGTCAACCTTCACTGATAAAGTGGGAAAAAACAGCATACTACTAATACTTTGTAAGTAATTGGGTCATAGTAGGGAGCAGTAATGGATCTTTGCATTGACTGCAACTCCTAAAAATGCCAAGACAAAGAAGCAGCAGCAGCTGTTAGCTGGGCATAGCATTCCTCAATCACTTTTAAAACTGACTTATATGACATTTATTGCAAAAAACCTAGAAACACCGTACATATCTTTGGGATGAGCTAATGCAATTAACATTTACATTTTCTAACCTCTTTTCAGCAGTTTTTGTTAAATTCTGCCAAAAAAAGTCTTCCAGAAGTAGCATATGTGTTATTTCAAAATAAAAGCAGGTATAAACGGTACAGGAAATAAAGCAATCATGTAAAATATCAAAATGAGAGCAACATAAACCATTGCTCTATGAGTAAATATGCTCAGTAGGTTTATCTGTTGTGGGGCAGGTGATGCAGATAAAAAAATGGACGATAATGTGTAAGTTGTTGGTAAAGGCTATGAAAAATTCAGATATGTTACAGCAGTGTGTAAAGTAATCATAGCTTGCATTTCAAGTGTAATTTATGTGTTTTTCCATGACTATAAAGCTGTGTAAAAAGTAACACCCCGTGGCTATATCTAATATCAGTATAAAAACAGCAGAAATTAGGTGTTTCAGGTAGAGGTTGAACAGAGGATTCGCATGGACACTAGGATGAAATAAATAAGAAGGTTTTGGAGCCAATAATCATGCAATACTGCTCTACAGGAGCCCCGGTTGACAGAATAAAAGGTAAACATTAATATAATAGGCCTTCTTCAAAGAAGTTGACTGTAGTTTGATTCCTGTAGAGTGCACATATAAGTAGGCCAAGATGAACGTGCAAATATTTACAAGAGAGAAGAGGAAAATAGATGGATAGAGGAAGAGACAGATAGTTTAAGATGGTCTGATTTTTAAATTTGCTTCACTCATGGATGCAGGTTTTCATGCCGCTGTGTTGCAGAGCGCTGCGGCTGCCTGAGATAGCTGTCAGAGGTATTTTGGTGTGATATCTGACAGATTTGCTAAAGACACTCGTCTCAGGGCTGTACTCTATATATCGTTAGTTTAATACACAATGACATGACCAATTATAGCGAGCTACATGCTCAAATAGCATGTCAAAACCTGTGTATCAATCCATTAGATCCTGTCTCCCATCACATTAAGTGGTACCTTTAGCGATCTGTTCGACATGTAAAGGAAAATGCTGACAGAATGGAAAATGTTCCCGAGCTGCTCACAGTGACGATGTCTTTTTTGGAGAGGGAGGATGTCACCCTCTTTCTCTCTCTCTCTCTCTTTGCTTCTTTGTCTCTTTCCCTCGCTCCCTCACTCATCCTGGCCACGGGGAAAAAAATGCATAAACAATACATCTGGATAATGGGCTGCATTGTTTACTTGGCTCTGAAATGTATTTGTGCACAACTCCAAAATGCATTTAGTAAGAATCACTCAGTGGGTGTAAAGCCTTGTTGACATTGGGGCGCTCTGGAAAGCGGGGAAAGTGTCATAACAGCGTCATATATCAGAGCATGAACTGGGAGAAGAGGATGTGATGACTCTTACATGGAGTAGGCTAAACCAGTATAATCGACCAGTAGCCGGGGCGCCTCTCCCAGTGTTTCTGCACCGACCTGCTCTGTCGGCCATGACAGTGGGTGGGAGGAGGTGTGTGATTTAGTGCGGTTGGTCCTAACGACCGCTCTGTCCTTGTGACGAGGACACACAGCCTCAGGGCGCTGGCATGGAGGATGTGCGTTGGACCGCCTGGCACCTCGCCTGGCACCACGCGTGGCGACACGTCCGCACTCTGCAGCCGCTCTGATGGATTGGCCTGTCTCTGGTGCCACCTTCATGAAATCACTTTTTGATTTGTTGTCATGTTTTTCTCCTTTTTTTCCTGCCGCTTGGGTTTTTCTCGGGTAAGAACACCCTCTGGTCAGGTATTACAAGAGTGATTAAATTAACCTTCAATAAATCAGCATAATAGAGCATTACCTGAGAGTGTGTGTGCGTGCCCGGCAGTACGAAGGTGTGCGATCAGGAGGTCAGCATCAAACGTCCACCCATGACGACTGCGGGAAACACAGATGCCCCGTGGCTGAAGCTGCTCTTTCCAACGTGCCATTTCACAGGAAACACATCAATAAGGCGCGATTACAAGGCTGACAAAATTAATCTGAGCTGTCGTTTCATAGAGCCGGGTTTGAGAGTGCTCTGATCAAGTTACATTACAGAGAAGCTTCTGAGTGATTTGGAGAGAAAGCAAAATCCATTTGACTTCCTTTCTGTTTGGCGAGGGCTTATTATCGCTAAGAACCATTCCTTATCAGAAACAAATGACATTTATGAGAGCGTTTAGGCGGCTTCCTGCAGTTAATACATATAATGCTCTGTCTGCAGGGTTCTGTTTTATCAGCAGATATTATATGAAGTGACATTTGAAGCAGAGAGCAAGTAGTTTGACTTTTCTGAAGGTGTTGAGGCCTGCAGCAGGAAATGTTAACTGTCCCGTAGGCAGTCGGAGGAAAAATTTCTCATCAGGACTTAAACGATACAGATAAGCGTAAATACATATATTAAATCCACTTAAACATATTCATGATCAGATCTATTATTCACAGCTTGTTCCCCTCAAATAACCTCTGCAAACTAAGCTTAAAGTAGTCTTTGCATGACTTATTGGCAGTCATACACCGTATTTGAATTTCCTTTTCTTAGAGAAAAAGAGCAAATATATTCAAGAGTTTTAGTCATCTACTTCTGATTTAAGAGCTGCTAAAACTGACTCCTCAAGCTCTATTAATTGAAGTTAACACACGTAATAAATCACTCACAAAGCTTCTTTGTCTGAAGAGCTGCTACCACTGACAAAGTAATAAGAAAATCCCTAAAATCTGGACATTTCTGAGAATTTACCCTTATTGTTCGGACTCAATCTTTGGACAGATAAAATGTATTCACTCAGTATTTCAGCCCTGAAGGTGAAAAACTGTTCAGAGGACTTAAGAGGAATTAGCAGAGGGATGGTGTAACAGGATAACTACACTCACATCTACAAACCAGCGCAACACTAAGCAGGAGAGTGATCTCCAGGTATTTAGCTTCTAGAAAATTCAATAGTTTCTCTCACGATTTTGTCCTTATTTCAGGTGAGCAGTGTGTGAAGGAGGGTTGTTATTGCAGACCTAATGAAAGTGAGATGGTGCAGAATAAAAGACAGTAACAAGCTGCATAAATGATAACAGCAGGGTGGTCCACGCCTCCTCTCTGAGGTAAAAGTTGGCGTTTCTTCCTCACTCGAGTTGCTCTGGGGTCACCTCTAGGTCACTAAGACCCAGCCCAGAACCAAGTTACTTTAAGTAAGGCTAGCAGCTCTCTGAATGTTTGTGATAAGTCCTGGTCCTAACTCAGGAGTAACTTCAGAATGATCTCAGAGTGACTCTAAGAGAGAAAGAGACAGAAATTTCATCTCAGAGAGGAGGCGGATCATCCCTTTAAAAAGCTGTTATTCCCACACATAAACTATACCTGTGCACACAACTGTATAAAATCATCATCTCTGATCTATAAACTAATATGCGGTTTCCCTCTGCACATGATGACTGACTGAGATGTCACTTTCTCTGAAGTGCATTGACCGTAGTGTGACACCTCATGGTCATTATAAACCTTTAATGTCATTGTTTTAGTCGTCTCGTGCAGCTTGTTGCTGTTGATGTTATTCTTCTTTGATGAGCAGCCGTCTGGTGAAACTTTTGTCGAAGTTTTCCAGTTGCCAAATATCTTTGTGATCACTCTACTGTCTTGTTGGCTTATAGATGGTAGTGTAATCATGATATCTGTCAGCATTATCATTAGATTAACTCACTGCCATTGACTGTATGGAGTGAATTTCTCCCATTTTACCATCTTTCTTTTATTTACTCCTCTACAGACCTCCTCAAGTCCTCCTCATCCCTCCATAGTCTTACACTTTAGGAGCTCTCTAAAAGAGCTTCCTGATTAATTCATACAAAAATCTAGAATCAATTTTTAGGAAAATTATTTTTTTTAAAACATAATGATTTCAAGAGGTTATATATTTTTTTCCTTTTTATTGATAGGACAGGTTGGAAGTAAGGGGAAATAGAGAGAGAGAGGGGGGAAGACATGCAGCACATGGTCAGGGCCAGACTAGAGCCTGCGACCGCTGCGAGGACCGTGGTCCCCGAGGTGGGGCGCGCTAACCCGCTTGACCATCTGCGCACCTCCACAAATCTAAATGACTTGAAGAGTTATTTCTCATAATTTTTGCTACCAAGACTGGCACTTAAGATTAGAAATCTTTGTGAATATGGCCTCTTTACTACTACTTAAAATGTTTGAGAATCATCCCCAAAAATTGGATTTCATCTCAGTGACTGAACCAGCCCAAAAATAAAACAGATTTTTCCTTGAAAAATATCTAAAAAGAAGCAATGATCGGTGTTTATTTCCTTACCAAAATTCATGATGATAAAGACTTTTCTATTTTAGGAGTAAATCATAATGAGTTAAAATACAAAACAGTTGATAAAAACTCTGATAAGAGTTTGTTATGTTCTTCCGATTCTTATGATAGAATTAAAATGTAATTGTTGGACCACAAAGTATTTAAAATCCATGATATTTCCACCCAATGAGGGTCTGATCTTTTAAAAAATAAAAACTGTAATACTGTAACAGCTTGAGGTAAATGATGAGCAAAGTGCATTTTATCACTGAGCTGTAACAAGTGTGCTGCAGGTACGAATCCTCTCCACCTCCGTGCTTCTTTAAATCACTGTTGTCAATCAATATCTCTATTATCTCTTTGCATTTATTGAGATTTCTTTTCAATAGATGTTTTTTGGAGTCTTTATCCTTGGAGAGAGAAAATAGTTTAGACTTTCCTTCAGGACCAAAAGAAGACTGAAAGACTTGAGAGACAGACTGAACCAACACAGAGCAGAGAGGAGGAAGAAGAGGATCAGGGGAAAAGATTTTCTAGGTGAGTGATGATTTGACAGCTTCCAGGTGGGCGTGTCTTTAAAGATTGTCCTGATAGGACACTGAACATTACACCAACATGACTTTACAGAGGTCCTGTATGGACATCCAACACTGTAACTTTACATTTAAATATAGAGGAGCAGCATAGCTCTCCATAAGGGTTAAATATATACAATCCTAACCCTTCTGTCGTTTAATGTGCTGTATTTTTTAGGGTCTCTGAATGTTTTAAAATCATAAACGTCCTCTCTAAACCAGCTGACTGCCGACAAACCAAATGAGAGAGAGGGTTTTTCTAAGACTGAGCTCTAAGCTGAGGGATTTGTTGGAATGGATAAATCCTGTAACAGAAAACTCAACAGCATTTTCACCGCAGAGCTGACTGTTTCTCACCACAAACCTCGTCTCTGACAGAGGAACAAGCTGAAGCTCGGACAACTCATTCTTTCCGTCTTCGGTGTCCTTCACGAGTGAATCTTGACAGCTCTGTCCAGAGGAGGAAGGCGAACTCAGGACATCTGCTTCTCTGCTTCACACAGACATGGCAGTGATTTTGACACAGGGTGTCAGGGTAATCTGACAAGACAAGCCTCATGTTTTATCGGAGCGTTCAAAAAATGTGCCGCCGTCGCTCTGGCTTGTGTCTTCCGTACATCATTCTGTCTTCTTCTTGACTGTTGTGCATTGCGTAGGTGGCATTGAAATGAAATGTCCTGTAAAACAGACCAAAGAGGGGTGAAGAGGAGAGAGAAAGAGAGAGAGAGAAAAGAGGAGTCAGACCCGTGACCTCTTCGGCCGTGCGATGTGTCTGAAGCTGGCAGGGGACGCAATTGAGAGTGACACTCCTGGTTGGAGCTGCCAAACTGCCACTTCCTGTCCTCTTTATTCACACATAGCAGGAGTTTAAGCTGGACATTTGAAGAGCAGAGAACAGACATGTGTCTCCTTGTACGGCCATCGCTTCTGACTGTCATTACGGAGGTTCACAACCACTCCATCAACGTCCAAGCTCAACACTCATCTGCCAGATGAGTTCAGGACAACAAGGAAAATGGAAGAAGAGCTACATTACAGGTCAAGGTGTGTTTCTTTTCTAAAACCTCAATATCATAAAAGTTCGGAGGCTGTTTGAGATGAGTTTCATGGTTTTCAAATCATTTAGAGCTCATATTTCATTTCAAATAGTGCAAAGATGACATATCTAATGTTGAAAAGTCATCAGCTTTTCTTTCACCAACTCTCTGTAAACCTTAAAGAAACCAGTAGACCAGTTTCTGGAGTCTGAAAGTCAATGTGGATCTAGTCCTGCCTGATAGAGGATTTCAGCTGCT